ATAAATTCCCCTCTTATCCCAGCGGGCAGTCTTTATCCTTGAAGCTTGGGTCCTCTGCCAGAAGCCTGGGAATTTGAGGTTCCTAGGTCTGCGCTCTTCTGGACAGAGATCTCAGACGTTGTTCCTGGGATCTGCTCAAGCCACTTGCCTAGCTTGGAAATCACTGCACCTAGTGCTCCAATTACCACTGGGACCACTGTTGCCTTACCCCCTCCACATCTGGTCCCTTCTGGGGATCCTTGGGGTTCCCCGGATGGGACTAGTCCCTTCTGGGGATCCTTGCCGGATCAGGAACGTCCGGTCATCCCAGTGTCTCCCATCGATATACTGCTCAGACCTAATTTTGCTGGGCATAAGTGATTGGCATGGTGTTTGGGTTTGGCAATAATAGTGAATTTTATGACAATTAATCTGGAAAAATATCAGACTTTTGCTTTGGACATGAAACTATAAGTAATATATTAATAATGAAATGTTTTCTTTTAGTAGGTTCATCTAAATGTTTAACAGATGCTGGATTTAGTCATCATTTAATCCAGACAGTTTAATAGTTTTTTGTGGTCACTCTGCTCAAATCACAAATGTACAAGCTCATCTGCTATTATATCTCCACTGGAGATTCTCTCATAAAATCCTACGCGGTTACTTTATCCTCCACAGGCCATCATGGAGGAAATTGCAGGGTTTGAGGATCGCTTGGCAGGCCTGAAAGAGCGAGGAGACCACCTGATGGAAGGCTGCAGTGACCGTGTGCAGAGCAGGCTGAGACAGCAGGTCCAGGCACACCAGCAAGGCACCAGAGACAGCTACTCTGCCATCTGCAGCACAGCGCAGAGAGTGAGTGAGGAGGAGGAGGAGATGGAGAGATGGAGGGAGGGAGTGAACGTGGAGGAGAAGGGAGGGAGTTGTGGGAAGCTGAGAAAGACAGATAGTCTGTCTGTCTGTGGAGCAGTGAAATGGTTAATACACATTCATGAAGTAATTCTTGGATGTCCTTTGGACGAGACGTGCATGCACAGAAACGCATGGTTTAGATATCAGTTCCGTTAATATTCCAACAGATTAGATAGCAACTTAATCCTAAATCATTCTGACACTTAAACCCATCTCTTAAGACAGCCCTTTACTGCCAGCGTAGAGGGCACAACCAATTAGGGCTGCCAAAGTGGAGCTCAACAGCAGCCGTATGCGGACAGACCCCACCGGCCAAAATCACTAACTCAATCTCGCCATATTAATCTCCGTGTATCCCCTGTCAGCTCCACTTTTTCATGCTTGAGCCAAAAATGATCACACACCACCATTCAGCGAATCTGGCGAGCCCCCATAATCCAGCCACACTCTGTCATTTTGGCATCGTCTGTTCTGTCATCATAGCTCACCTCCCAAGACACTACCTCCACCACCACTCACACATCCAATCTGGCATTGTGTGATCCAGCCACACTTTACCACTACACTGCTGGCTTCTCTACAACTGCGCCTCAAGTGTTACGATGGCTGCCAACTGTGTCCCAGCGCAGCACAGCTCTAATATCCTGCCTGCCACTTGCCACCATGCCAGCCTTCTAGCCTTTGCCAAATACATTGGGCATTTTGCCAGTAGTTGCCCCCCGTTATTCCTCTCTTTCGGGTTCTCATATTAACACTGTCAATCAGACCTTGCTGTTCCGCTCTCCCCTGGAAGGCATGGACGCCTCCACATTCAACACCTGTTAAATATAACAATGAAAAACTGCCTAATCATTTGGGTTTTAATCTGTCATTGTATTTGGCCATAGGTTTTGACTTCAAAGCATTGTAGCACTGTGTCGGCTACCAACAGTTCATTGTTTTCACTCCGTGTTCTTGCATGTGTTTATTCTGCTACTGTTGGTAAAACAGAAAACATTGAAATGGTTTGCCATGCAGAGGTGCGTCAATAAGAGCACTTATATTTAGCTTCTTCTGTATTACAGGTGTATCAGAGTCTGGATCATGAGTTACAGAGACATGTGAGTCTGCAGGACACACTGCAGCAGTGCCAGACGTGGTTGAACTCTGTGTCAGAAGAGCCAGAGCCTCCTACACATCCTTCTTTCAGCCTCGAGGAGGCTTTACAACAGGTTAGTAACCATACATACATAAAGTAAGCATACATAAAATATATCGATGCTAATTTTGTAGTGAGAGAGGATGTAGTGAGGATATAATATGCCCAACCAGTAAAATCAATAAAATTAATAAACAGCTATATATGAACAGGTGAAGCAGGAGCGGGCTCTGCAGGAGCAGGCTGGCACTTACCTCCAGCTTGTGTGCTCCACGTGTGACCTGTGTGAGCCGAGGGTGAGAGAGACCGCGGCAGCTATCCAACAGGTCAAACTGCAGGTCAGTACACTTTAAGAAGCTTTTAAGCAAAAGAGTACAAGTTTCACCATGCATGTTTATAGCTCATATATCCATCGTGAAATGACTGCACTTTATTTTTGTGTCTAGATTGAGGAGCGTATGCTGCTTTGTGAAGAGGTAGCCGACAGCTGGAGAGACATCGAGGAGCAGAAGGCAGATCTGGAGACCCAGCTAATAGAGACAGAGCAGCAGCTTCAGAACCTCACCAGGAGACCTGCAGAGCTGGAGCCTAAGATTGCACAGAACCAGCTGGACAAGGCCCAGGTTTGATTTTACTATTTTACTTTTTTGTTTTACATTTTTTTACATTTACATTTTTCAAAGAGTTTTCTTTTAGCTAAAATCATACAATTTGAGTTGCTGCTCAGAATAATCCCAGAAACCAACTCTTATCTTTCTTCCAGGAGTTCCTGCAGCAGATTAAGGAGAAACAATCTGAGGTAACACGTCTGCATGAAGCCATCGGCAGGTTGATGGACGGACAGGTCTCTCCTGCCCTGGAGGAGATAAGGAGACTGAAGAAAAGCTGGATGGACCTGGGCCAGCGGGCTGAAGAGCTGGAAGCCCTGCGGGGGGAGGACATGCAGCGAAGTGGAGAGTACCAGGAGAGTGTTGTCGCTGTAGAGGAACTTTTCCATCAAGTATCCAGGGAATGGGACTACCTTGCTAGGTATCAGACTTTTTTGTTTTTATCAAGGCTGTAATGTCATTCTCTTCATGGCATCCACTTATGTATATACAGAAATAGCTATAAATATGAATACACAACATAGTTTTATTAGTCTTTCTACCTCAATAAAGACAAAAGTTTACATTTTTATTACTATATCCCTGATGTCCCTTAACTCATGTACATATGTTACTAGGGCTGACACAGAGAGTACAAGTGAGCATCTAGAGGCACTCAGGAAGCTCGCCAGTGACCTAGAGGAGCAAAGAGAAACTCTGGAAGACTTGAGGGACCAGAGACAAGCTATCCTGCCTCGACTTAGCCTGCTAGACAAGGAGCTGGTCAAACAACAGGTGAGGACATTATTTTTTTCTATAACTGTATGTAATATGTCCAGCAATATGCTAATATGATCACACGGTCAAAGTAATATTGACACATTTTCTGGAAATATTGTATTTCATCAGGTGGGTCATCTGGAGCAGCGCTGGGCACAGCTGGAATCTCTGATTCAGCAGAAGATCCAGGACTCTGCACAGATGCTAGAGGATCTTGCCCGAGTGGAAAATCAGCTGAGAGATGCCAGAGAGTGGGTGGAGGAGCAGCGGCCTGCCCTCACCTCTGCCCTGAAAACCAGCCCACCCCCCGATCTGGCCCAGAGTTTCCTGTTCGACCACCTGAGCGTATGTGTAGAGCTGGAGGCCCGTCAGCAGCTGCTCGGTCAGGCAGTGAAGGAAGCTCAAGCTGTGGCTTCCAGGCTGGGACTGAGTGAAAAGAGACGCCTGCAGGAGCTCGTTGAACAAGCCCAGACTGAAGTGGAGGCTCTCGGGGCTCGGGTTGCCCAAAGGAGGAAGTACCTTAGTAAGGTAACAGCTGGACTGGATTTAGATTGAAAATAACATTTTAATTATGCCTTAAAGGGGCTAATTTTATCCTGAGCTATTAGTCTGGTGAAAGAAAAAAAAACCCAAAGAAAAACCAGGTAGTCCAAGAAATTAATTCTGCTTATCCTGCCAAAGTCCATTTGTAAATAAATTGTGATGTTTCTGTCTTCCTCTCAGGCCTTCACAGAGAGGACACAGTTCCTTCAAGGCCTGGGGAGAGCATTGTCTTGGATACAGCAACAGGAGAGGAAGGCCTTGATAGATGACCACATAGCACTTCTTCCTGAGGACCTGGCAAAGCAGGTTGCTGGATGTCGAGGTGTTCAGAGCAGCTTACGAGCTTATCAGAGGGAGCTGGCATCTCTCTGGGTACAAGGCCGCGATCTGGAGAGAGATGCCACTGACAAAGAGAGAGCAGAAACGCTGGCAAGACTTGAGGAGCTACAGTCTGCTTTTGAAACTGCTCTCCAGAAGACTACCCAGCGTCTTGCAGCCTTAGAGAAAGCCTTGACCTCCAGGAAGTACTTCCAGGTTGACCTAGACAAGACTTGTCAGTGGCTGAGACAAGCAGATGACATAACATTTCCGGAAATCAATTTAAGCACTGCTGATGATAGCTCGGATTTGCAGTCACAGCTTTCCAATTATCAAAATGTCCTAGAACAAGCTTCCGAGTATGAGAACCTCCTTCTTATTGTCCAAAGAATAGGTCAGGAGATCCTCCCTACTCTGAATGAGATCGACCATTGCTACCTGGATGAGCGGCTCAATGCCCTGCCACAGCAGTACAATGCCATCCTAGCTCTAGCCAAAGAGAAGAAAGACAGGGTCCAACAGATTATCCTAGAACGGAAAGAGTTCTGCACTTTCTTTGATATTACTCGTAATGCACTGGAGGAGCTTCAGGAGCAGTTTGACAATCTGGAGAAGCAGACTATCAGTATTGAAGAGGAGGAAGTTGTTAGTTTAGTTAATGAATACAGAAATATAAATGAAAGTTTAGTCCATATTAGCCCTGCTGTTAGAGAACTGCACGGGAAAAATGAGGGTTTCCTCAGTAAAGGTCAGCACTACAGAGCTGAGGAGACACAGCAGCTTGTGAGTCTCCACAACACACTGAAAAGGAGAATTGATCAGAAGATCAAACACTTACATGATTGCTTGGAAATACTATCAAAACACAAAGTAGTTTTTTCCAAGTTAGACTCAGAGTTACAGTCTGCTAAAGAGGAGCTGGTGAAATTGAAATCAGACAAAGAAGTAAGTGCCATAGATAAAATCTCAAGTCTTTATTTACTGCTGGAAAATCTGGATGGAGTGAACTCTCAGGCTGAAGAATGCAACCAACAGATGGAAAACCTTTGTCTTACGACTGATGCTGCTGCCTTTCAGGAAACTAGTCTGCAGCTCCAGTCGCTGCAGTATTTACGATGTGACGCTAAGCGTTACGTTGAAGAAAGCGAAACGACAGTCGCAAAAAATGAAGACTTCACAAGAGCAGTTGAGAAAGTGTTCGAGTGGTTGAGGATGGTTAAAGACAAAATGAATGATCCTTTGACCTTTTCAGAGGTCAAAATTGAGAGGATACACGAGGAAGTGCGGAAACTGAAAATCAAGGAGGAAGAAGTGAAAAGTAGACTGAGGGTTGTTGATGTCTTGGGTGCACGAGAAAGGCTAAAGTACAAAAGCAGGAAAGCAACCGTTCCTTCCCATGTAGAAGAGAAACTACAGGAGCTGGGAAGGCTGGGAGTGGAAGTCCAACAACGAATTTGTGCAAAACAAGTATGTAATTATGTTTGTTGATTGCTTTAATTCACCTTATAGCTATTTCCTGATAGTATTGTGACATTGCATTAAATGTAATTGATATACATCTGGAAATGACTGTCTCAGTCATTGTCCATAGTATTCCTGAGCCATTATTCATGGTTTTAAATTCTAAATGTTACTTTCAGTCTCATGTCCTCCCTCACTGTTAATATTAATCAACTTGGGGAGGTTAAAACATTTGAAATATATCCTTAGCATCTTCTTAGCATACTTAGCTATAAAAAGACTACTGGTAAGTTTAAAAACAGGACATTTTTACACATTAACAGCAAAAATGTGGTTTAATGTTTAAACAGTGCATTTCTCTATCAACTCATTTACATAGATAAAATCTTGTAGGAGGCCGGAAAAAGAAGAAGTTAATTAAATCACCTTTTGCATATTCTAGCTGGCTGTGGATCAAGCGCTTTCCTTGGTCCAGAGGCACCACTTATCTCTGCAGTCCATGCAGAAATGGCTAGACTCCGCTGCGGCTTTGCTTCAGAGGGCCACCACAGGGGTGGAGCTCGAAAACCAAGCAGACTGTGCACAGGATCTGGAAGAAATTTTAGCTAAGGAAAAAAACTTCAAAGCTGGTTTACAGGAGTTCGGGACTTTGGATCCCTTGCTGGTGGATTTTCTGGAGGCAGGAGTGATGAGTGGGCTCAGAGAAAAAGTAAACACAATGCAGCTAAGAAGCACCGAAGTCAAACAGCAAGTGGATACTTACAGAGAAGTGTTGGAGAGGTGTGTGCTATATCAAGTATACATATACAGTTTGTATTTATTCCATATACCTAAAATGATGTTGTGCAGTTTCTTTATTATGTCACCCATCATTGATGTTCAATCTGAATGTTTCTTAGATGTGCAGCTCTGTGGAGCTCCTTCCAACGTGAGAAAGAGACCGTGGTTGAGCAAATGAATGATTCAGAGGGCAGGATGGCCATGTTCACTACAGCTAAAGCTGTAAGCGCCCACCAAGCAGAAGACAAGTGTCAAAGATACAAGGTGGGTCACTGTGTCAGAGAAAAAGATTCTGTATTAGAAATTACAGAAATTATCTAGCCTTTCCCAGGGGTCCTAGTTTTGCATGATATGTTTGAGGAGAACATATTTATTAAACAGCTTTGTGTCGTATCTCTTATAACCTTTTGGTTCTAGTCGCTGGTGGCGCATGTTGACCTGCTGGAAATGCCTCTGAATGCTTTGAAAGAAAGAGCAGCAGAGCTGGAGCAGTTAATCTCTGAATCCAGCAAAGCTATCACCAGTCACGTTGTATCGTCACTATGGCAACGGTGGACCCGTCTCCGCAGTGTGGCCCGAGCCCAGGAGAGGGCACTGGAGGACACTGCTAGAGAGTGGAGGAACTTCAATGAGAAAGTAAGAGACAGTTTACCAGTGGGTTTTTGTGCATGTTATTGGTGTGGTGGTCCTCACGTATTGGCCTGCTTTCTGGGGAATAAAAGGCAGGTCCCCACATTGTAAGTCGCTGAAGTAAACCTTTAGGGAAAAGGTTTACTTTAAGGTCCCAAATCATGAAAATGTGTTTTTATTAGCTTGAAGATGTAAAAAGTATAAATTTCCTTGTCACCGGAATTTTTCTAGCACTCTCCACAACTAGACCGCCTTCTAGTTTTATAAACCACTGAAAACTGGATGATCAATCATCATAGACATATAGCTAAAAAATGCAACACATCCTACTCTCTGACTGCTCGGTTTCTTTTAGGTGAACGTGAAACTCCTAGTTAAGCACGCAACTCAGACTCTTTTTAAGTGTGGCTGTATCAGAACCTTGTGCACAGTCGATTTATTAGCTTTAGTGGATGATAGTTTGTACTTTGCCAGGTTGGTGAAGCAGACAGGAATAGCAAGGAAACTAACTGGATCATATAAAAATATTATTTTCAGAGTAGGCTGTGTTTATTTTATTACTTCTTTGTTTTACTTGATATATGACGGCCTTTGCTAAGAGAAGACTTGTTTTATTCTGCTGTCAAAGTCACCAGACTCCATTGATAAAAACACTCGTTTTACTTTGCCGACCACAGAAGAGGCTGATCTGCCTCAGCTTCATTAGTTAGGTTATTTCTGTTATTGTGTGGCTTTTATGTTGAATCACCAGAGTCCCACCCTGACGGTCCGGAAAATTGTAGAGAATATGGGACATTTTAGGTTTGGATAAAGGTTCAGGTAAGACAAGCATTAGCTATGGCTAAAGCAAAAGTCAGACCCGAGTACGTCACAAGTCTTCAGTCTGTCCCTGTCCCTGTGTGTTCTCTATAATCAACCCTTCACTGGCGTCCAGTTAAGTCCCTGTTTATTTTAAGAATGCTGTGGTCCACTCACTTTTTCACTTTTTGTTTTGATGTTTTAGTGTTTTGTTTTATTTATAAAGGTGCTTTGTAAATAAAATATGACTTTACTTACTAACCTTACTTCTGCAAAAATGCGTCTGCAAATTCGGGTCAAACACAGTAACCGCTGAACACCAGTTGGTGTGCAGTGATGTAACTCCAGGCTTTAGGCCAGTTGTTTCCTTCTGCCAAAACACTGTGTCATGGAGTGTTTTCCCGCCTTTTGACCTAATTTGTGTTTGAACACTCTGTTTCCCATAAATACCCACAAGACACTCTTCCTAAAAAAGGAAATGAAGTCATATTGTAAGTAACTGTCACTTCCTCATATGTGGCACATTCCTGCTGTCCACTGTTTTTCTGTGGCCCCTTTGTTCAACTGGGCATGATGTCATCCTCTTTGTCCACTGATTCCTTTGACTATCACAAAGTCTTGTCGCACATAAAGTAGACTGGCAGCAATCACAAGTGACGACAGACAAAAATGTTAGTAATTATGTCTCCCAGCCCCTTTATTAAACCCACAAGTTCTACATGAAGCTGAATGAGGAGAATAATTCTGTAAATAAACATCTGTCCCTCAGATGGAGAAGGTACGATCGGTGTCCAAAGACCTCCACGGTCGTGTTCCAGACAGCACGGTTGAGAAAGCAGCCACCAGGGCGGCGCTTCAGAGTCTCCTGGAGTACCACGACTCCTTCAGTCTGGAAGTGGAGAGGGAGCAGTCCATACTGGCTCTGCTGGGGCAACAAAGTTGCAGTCTCAGGGGAGAGGATGACAAGGTGGAAGTGATGGAGAAAAGCACTGAGAACGGACACAAGGAGACGCTGTGCTCACAGGAGATCCAGAGCATGCAGGAGCAGTATGACAGGTGAGATGACTGCTGCTGGGGCTTCTGACAACCACTTTATAATCATAATAATTATTGCTATAATTGTTCAAGTTAGGTAGGTGGATATTTAAGTTGTTTTACAGCCTCCTAGTACAAGGATAATGGGGCTACTTTTGAGTTTATCTTCATTTTTAAAAAGAGTTTCTGCTTTTTACCACTTAAATTTGTTTATAGTAAATGTATTAAATATCCCATTCAGACCGAAATGTGTTTGTTTATTTTGATCTTTTTCTTCCTTGTCTTGTCAGCCTTGTGTTGCAGGTGCGGGCTAGCAGGGCTCAGGTGCATCAGGAGTTGAGGGAGAGAGAGGAGGTTGAGAAAGAGCTAGGCTTAGTCAAAGGCTGGATCCAAGACACCCGGGGTTTATTGTTGAGTCCCACTGCAGACCTGGATTCACTGCTGCAAGAACTAGAGGTAAAGGACTTACTAGTCTCACACATAAAGTAAACATAGTCTGACTTTAGTGGTGGGTTTTTTTTTTTTGCTTGTTTAGACACAAATACAATGTATTAACATAATTAACAGATGTGATTATATTTGAATCTGTGAGTGTGAGAGTAAAGCTATGGATTTACTTGTTTATCTATGTTCCTACCCTCACCTGTGGCAGCAAGCTGTTAGTAGTTATCAAAACAATGAGATAGTACATGGAAGTGGTAAAAATGAATGTCCTCTGAAGGGTCTCTGGGCTCTTCCTTAGAGATAGAGTAAGAACAATGGTCATTTGGGAGGGGCTCACAGTAGAGTCGCTACTCTCCCAATTGAAAGGAGCCTGTTGAGGTGGTTCAGACATCTGATTAGGATTCCTCCTGGGCATATCCTACTAGAAGGAGGCCTCAAGGCAGACCCATGACACGTTAGAAAGGTTATACCTCTCGGCTGGCTTGAGGATGCCTTGGTGTCCTGCGGGGGAGCTGGAAGAGCTTAGTCTGCTACCTTGTGACCAAGAGCCAGATAAGTGGTGACAAATAGATAGATAGAAAGATTAATGGAAAAATGATAAAAAAGGGATTTGTAGTCATTCATGTAATAATTACAAATTTAAAAAAAACACCCAAACAATTTCTAAAGTGAAATCACCAGTAATGAAATGTTGCTATTGGTGGATCACTGCTTTGTCTCCATGCAGTTAGTTTAACTCCCTGACAAAGATTTATACACTTAAATGAGTTAGTTAAGTTAAACAAGACCAAGCTATAAAGGGAGTTTAATTGTTGATTAATTGTTGATCATTCAGCTTGATTATAACCATGTATATTTCATCAAGTGCAGCTTTTCGTATGTTACATTCATGTCATTTACTTTGCCTTGTAGACGGCACACGGTGAGGTGATCAGCAGACGTCAGAGTGTGGAGCGGATGACAGAGCTGCAGCAATCAAAGTACCAGGACCTCCAAGCTGGCCTGCCCTCTGAACTCAGCATGCAGCTAGCTGAGGTGGCGCTGGCTCTCGGATCTGCTGAGGATCAGGTAAGCTCATTTTACTTATTGTATTATTTGACTCTAATAATGATGCATGTATGAATATTATCAATGCAATATGACACTGATTTGTTTAACATTCATTTAGTCTTGTCAAGAGGTTTATGTTAGTATTTGACCTATGTTTTTTTAACTGTGTATTTCTAAGGTATTATGTGGTCTAATTGTTAAGGCTGTATTACACAATCACAAAAGTTCTGTGTTGGATGTTGTCTGCAAAGCTTTCTTTACACATATTCTATCTGTAACTTCTCTGCCACTAACAAAAAGCCAAAAAGGGATGTTAAACAAACATTGTGTGTGTTTCTGATATCCACTTCAGGTGCAGGCAAGGGAAAGGGAGGTGCAGCAGACCAGAGATGTGAAAGAGGACTTCAGCTCCCGACTGCAGGACATCGAGGCAAAGCTGAAGACCATTGCTCTAAAATTGGAAGACAAGGGTGCCGACCTGGAGGAGGCCAAAGAAGACACCAAAGTAATCAAACAGACAGATTGACTAATTAGCAAGCAATTAACCCCTGTTAAATCGGCTATTCATTTTGCAGATGTTGAGGTTAATGAGTGAATTGAGTTCTGGCTTCAACAGTGACCCACTTTTGAGAGGAGTATTCCAGATGGGAGTTTGAGCCCCTTGCCTCCTGTTCTTCTTCTTGTCTCCCCAGCATGTTTCTTCCCTCACTCATTTGTAGAAAAAAACACTTTGGAGTTAAAATTCATTTAAAGGAGCAGTTTGAGCACATCCCACATGCCTCTGGTTTAGTAATTAATCACTGCTCCTCGCCAGGAAAGCCATAAAACCACAACTTGTCATTCATACGCTTTTAAAGCTGTGGGTCACAATTAAGTAGTTACTGCTTTTAGGATGAGAGTGTTACTTGAAATGTATCCTGACTGTGTTCAAAATAAACTCTAAATCTAGTTTTACCTCGCTCATGAACTCCCTTTCTTTAATCTCTGGCCTCCATACACCTCCTTTCTCCTCTGTTTTTTTCACCCCCTCCTCTCCTCCCCTCTCCAGGCTCTTTCTGAGGAGTGTGAATCCTGCGGTTGCTCTCTGGCAGAGTTGGGAGTGGCTGTGCAGGAGTTTGGGGAGCAGAACCCTCTCCTGTGTAAGCAGCTGGGTGATGCTGTAGCCAAACTGACAGAGGTGCAGCACCACACCTCGCAGCAGGTCCAGGATAGAGCCAACAGACTGAAGAAGGTGGGGGGGGGGGGACAGTCAGTTCAGTGTGCCATCCAGATGATTTGTTTCATATAATTCTCTTAAATATTATTATATTAAATGTAGTTTTTGTTTTTTTTGTAGTTTTATTTGCTCTGACTTTGTGGTCTTCTGTTGAGCAGGCAGAAAGACAGGTGGAGGAATATCAGGGCATGAAGGCATTCATTTTGAGCTGGACAAAGAAAGCTGAGGCTCTGGTCACCGGTAATATCATTTGGAGCTCTGCGTCCCAGCTGCAGGATCAAATTCGAGCACACCAGGTGAGCTTTAATGGCGCTGCCAGCAGGGATTGTAAATAACTATAAGTTGTCCTAAAGCTGCTGTTGTGTAAGATGAATGGGTTCTATTAAATTCCATGTTTATTCTTCCTCCAAAATATTAACCCTGGAGCTGTGGATACCCCACAAAGTTGAAGCTAATTAGATGCAGTTTTTAAAATTCCAGTGAAACGTCATGCTCTACACTATGTCGGCCGGCCTTAATTAGTATAACTGCACACCCGAGAAGACTCCTCTCCTTGACTTATAATTTGCGTTCATTTGGTGGCAGGCCTTACTGCGTGAGTGTCGAGGTCTCCATGGTGACTTGGAGGCCATGGGGGAGAGGGAGGTGCAGCTGGCGGATGTGTTGCAGACAGAGAGGTGGAGCCAGCGGGTGAAACACCTCAGCAGACGCACAGAAGAGCTGCAGCAAACTGCCAAGACTCGCCTCCAGAGTCTGCAGGATGCAGCTAAGGTACATGACACTTTTAAGAAAGCATTGCAGGAGTTATGCAGTACCCCCCCTGCCTCAGTCTTCCAGTGATCACATCATCTCCATTGCTGCCAAAAAAACTGTGGCTATTCCCATTTTATAATTCCACACACTCTGTTGCATAAGAGCATGTGCACATCCTTTCAAATTGAGTCAATTATAATTTAGCCACAACTCAACAGTGCCCCCTTATGGTCATTCACGACAGATTACTCCATCATAATGGAAGGCACTGTTTCATTTAGCGTGTGCAGCAGTAATCTGTTACGCTAATCTGATTGCCATGCAGCTGCTTCCCAGACGACAGTCTGTTGTTGATTGTTGCTAATAACACTGTGCATTGGAAATGTGTTTACAACTCCTCTTGTGAGTTAGATTTTTTTTTCTGGGTCTAGATTGCAGAGCACGAGTTTAATTTGTAGCGACTTGTAATTTAGTTTCTTTCCAATGATGCACATTAAGGTCAGTTAGAATTTGCAAATGAATACATTTTAAAGCGAGAGGCACCACTATCTTCATCCTTCAAACTGCACTGAGGGAAAAAAAACATTTGCAGCATTAGATATCCACAAAGGAGCTTTGATACTTTTAAAAATCTGTTTTCATGTGGGTTTGATTACTGCTGTGTACAGAAGCTACATTCTATCTTGTATCTTTGCCCACATATACTTTGCCTTGATTATGTCTGTATCTCTCCTCAGGACATGTTGCGTCTGGAAGCGGAGGTCAAGAGCCTCCATGCTGCTGTAGATCAGATACAGGCCACACTTGCTTCCCCTGAACTTAACAAGCTCAGTCTCAGAGAGCAGTTGACACAGAGACAGGTAAACACAAACATAATACTGGCAAACAGCTTGTGTCCAGTCAGTCTGCAGATGTAATTTAAATTAGCGTGCATTGATATACATCTAGCATTTCTATCTCCCGTCTTATTATCAACCTCTTTGCTTTTCAATAAGCGTCTGCTGGTGGAAATGGAGGGCTTTAAGCAGCAAGTAGCTGCTGTTCAGCAGTGTCAGAGCGCCCTCCGGCTGCCAGAGGAGGTAGTGGCCAGTCTGCCTATCTGCCGCACAGCTCAGACTCTGCAGCAAGAAGCCAGCCAACTGCAACACACCACAATCCAGCAGTGCAACATCCTGCAGGTAAAAGGCAGCCCGAGTATTATGAAGGCTGTTGATGAGCTGTTAGATATAAAGTCATAGTGACAGAGACAAGAAACAGTACATTATCAGCCTTTGTGATAAGAATCCTACTTTTTGTTAGTATTTTATCGCTTAAAAGTAGCACTGAAATTTCAGCTGATGAGAAGAGTTATTGCTTTGAAGAGTGGATGCTCTGAAACCTGCTCTGTAGTGTTTCAACAAGCCTTCTCAGGAATGTCTGTGTTTTCTTTAAGCCCCCATCAGAAGCCAACTGTAGTGAAGATTAGCCCTGAGGAAGAAGCAAGTGACTTTCAGCCAATAAATCAGTCAATCCATTTGAACCAAATACATCATGTTTAACAAGAACTGAAACAGTTTATCTACCATGTGGGCACGTTGTTCTGGCTCAAGGTCAAATTTGTGACAGGCTGTCTAAAACATTTTGATACACAGACCTTCTGATTAGGTCATCTACTAATCGGAAGGTTGGTTCTTCAGTCCCTGGCTGATCCAGTCCAAATATCCATAGGAAAGATACTAAGCCCAAGTTGCTAGATAGATAGAAAGCACATAACTAGAAAAAGCATAGAAAAAAGTGCATGTGTGAATGAGGCAAGTTGTATAAAGTGATTTGAGTGCACAGATAGAGTAGAAAAATGCTATATGAGAACCAGTCCATTTACCATTTACATTCACATCTATCTTTGTAATCGCAATATTCTAATCGTGGTGATTTAGCTCTCACACACCTGCATAATTTCAATATCATCAAATGAAAAATACAGATTATTCTATAAGTCTAAGATAAGTCTAAGATAAGTCTAATAAGAGCTTATCAACAATATAATGAGCATGCTCAGTACCAGTTACTGCGTATGGATATGAGAGTCAACGTAAAAGTTTAGAACTTGACTCCCTGTGTGGAGTGGAAAGGGAAAATATAATTTCCCTCAGGGATCTATATTGTAAATACAGTTTCATTCATCTCATTTTACCTTAACGCCCTGACAGGAGGCCGTGGTGCAGTATGAGCAGTATGAACAGGAAGTGAAGAACCTCCAGAGATTAATTGAAGAAGCTCATCGGATCATTCAGGACCGGCCCGTTTCCACTAATAATATACAGGAACTTCAGGCTCAGATACACCACCACGAGGTATGAGGGTCTCCTTACTTTCTGTCATTTATCTGTTCGGTTTATTAGAACAGCAGTATGTAGGTGATAAACATGTTAACCCCCAAATCATCAACATTATCAATAAAATGCTGCTTTATGATTGTCTTATCCAAGGTTGTCAAAAATAAGGCCAGAATTGGCCCTGCAAAGATTCCCATCCGAATGGCTTTGGAAAATGTAAAGTAGAATAGAAATTTTGGCTTTTTAATATTTATATATTTCTCAGGAATTGTGTGGTTAAACTTCTGTACAATGGTTTCACTGGCCCTCCCTGCAAGATTTGCTCCTAGAACAACATTTTAGTCTTCTGCCGTAAACCAAATTGAGTGTGACTCTTAAAAAATTAGTTGATGCCTCAGACATTCAGACATTTCCATTGAGGTCAGTATTTTTAACATCAAAGAGTTAAGTGAAAGAAACAGAGAACTTGAGTCATTATGTTTCCTGCCCTATGTTTCAATGCACAGAGGTAAAAAGCAGAAGTTGTGGCACCAGTGAATGTATCATATATCTTAAATTAGCCTTAGGCAAGCCTGACTAAAATGACTCAAACTATAATTCTATAATTTCATTGCATCATTCAGCATAAGCAAAAGCTGCTTCTATAGAGCCATGAAATTGTTGAGTAAATCTAGTGTGAGAACACAAATGTCAAAGTGGTTAGGCTGGACATGAATTGTTCTTTAATCTTCCAGCTCTTCAGTACAAATGCTTGTCTTTCTTATTACACCTGTTTGAGAATGGCACACAGGTGTGTAGTCCAATTCACAGCATGCACATGTGCTTCCTTCTGTACGCTCCACCAGGCAATTCCCTCAGCTAAACCAAACAGACAGGCCAGGCAGTCAATAATGCTCACATAAACACCTACAGTCAATTTAGACCAATCCTAACATGCATGTTTTTGGACTGTGGGAGTTAGCCAGAGTACCCAGCAGAGGATGCAAGTCAGTCTGCACATTCAAACCCAAAACCTCCTTGCTGTGAGCCATCAAGGGACCCTGGTTAAAAATAAATGGTCAATTAATACCCCTTTCCATCATTCCCCCTAAATCCCAATTTAAAAACATCTGATTTAATCTCCCTTTTAACATGATCAAAGCATGCATTTTCCCAAACAGCAATCCAGAGAAAATGTTGTGTGGTGCTTTTACAAGCCCAACTCACTCACATTCCTAGTTTTATCTGATGGTGCATGTAAATATAATCTGCATAGACAAATGCCAGAGTTAGATGGTTTTCACCTGAGCGATTTGAGCTTCTGCTGCAGTTTCACTTTGCTGAGTATGTTAGATCTCCCATGCCGAGAAGGAGATTGTGAAGGGGGAGTGCAGATGCAAAGACCTGCAGTGAAACAGATCGTGTCTTCCCACAGGCAACATTTTTTCTTTTATTACGTTTTAATTTCTGCTGCATGGTTCAGGCAGATTTATATCTTACTCCAATGTTTGACTGCCTGGAAAATATTAACCCAGGTGTTGCAGATATTTGCAGATATTTTCTCAGCCCTGTAATCACTTTTGTCGCTGCAGAGCGGCCTGGCATGCCAGCATTTTTATGTCTAAGTTAGATCTCTAAGCTCAGCGGAGAGTTGCAACTCCACTGGCCCCTTTAGTCACATGACCTGATTATCAGTGCAATGACCATCTGTGGGACAGAGGGTGAAAAGAGGGGTGGAGGAGGAACGGCAGAGATGGGCTGGCCTGCTGGCACATTAGCGTAGTTGTAATTTGACACCGTTTCTGTCACTCTTCCTCCAGACGCCCTCCCTCTCTCCTTCAGCTCCCTTTTGTTAGAAGTAATCTGCCCAAGGGATTGGCTGAGAACGACAGTAGCAGGCAAGGGAGGGGGAGGGTGCAGCGCGGTGAGATCACTTCCTGTTTTTCCTTGCCATTTGTGTATGTGTAGCAGAGGGAGTGTCTGAGGGATTTTGAAGTATTTCTGCTATGGTCTCTGCTTCAACCAAACATCCTGTCTTAGCTTCAGCGCTGATCTGAGTCACCCGCCTCTGTGCTGCTCCGATTGGCTCAGAGATACAGAGGAGAGAGAGAGTGAGAAAGATAGAGAGGAAAAAAGGAGAGTGAGGCGGTGCTATTCTCTTTCTACTCTTACACCAAAGACAGCCAAAGAGAATGCGTCTGCTCCGCTTACTCCTCTCAGACCGGCACCACATTCAAGGCTGAACCAACTCAGCCACCCACTTTCACAGGATCATATTTAAACAGGAACTATTGATCTTGTGGTGTGGACTCAGCCACACTCTCCTGATCCTGGGGGTGGTGTTTTCTGTTTGCTTGGAATGTTTTGACAGGAGTTAGCCCAGAAGATCCGTGGCTACCAGGAGCAGATCGCCTCGCTCCACTCCAAGTGCAAGATGCTGACGGTGAAGGCCAAACACGCCACTATGCTGCTGACGGTCAGCGAGGTGGAGGGCTTTTCAGATGGCATGGACGAACTGAGTGACGAGGAGCTTCCCAGCGCTGTGACAGACACCACCACAGCTGACGCCAAGCAGCTTCCAGCACACCCCTCTGTAGTCATGGTGAGTGGGAAAACCTTTGGTTTTTTAGGGGGGATATACAGTCATAGACCTGCAGACATTACAAGGATGTGTGTGCATGTGTGCATAAGTTGTAGCATCTCTCCCTTTCTGCACATACCACTGACTGCCAAAGTGACTCCAAGGATCCCAGTGGGGCCTTTAAGGTTTCTATGTGCTTCATTTAACAAAACTCCAGTTAGGTTAGTTACCCTTGACTTATACCACATTAATGCATGTCTGATAATATCACTTAAGATTCGATTTTTTAGATCTGCAAACCTTTTCTTCTCCACTATTAAGGTCACGGTAACAGTTATGACTGTGCAGTTCATTTACAAGATAATAATGAGCCACACAGAAGTAGCTGAACAGCAGGCCCTCCCTCACGTGCAGCTGTTTAGGCCTACGTAACAGCTGGATAAGGATACAGTGCTACGCAACATGTTTTAAACTAGTGGCATGAATATTTTTAGTCACCAATTATGTTTTAATTCAAAGTTCAAGTTCAAAGGTTGTTGGGGCGGGTGTAAAACCTTGCCTTTTAAAACAGCACCACTTCTCGCTGGTACACTTGCACCCAGGTGGGTTGTTCCCTTATGAAGATGTTTCAACACCTGCTCTGTGGATTTAGGCTCTTTCTTTGTGTAATCCTGGAGTAACTCTGTGATGTTGAGCTCAGGGCCCTGTGAGTGCAGTGCCATCTGTTGCTGACTCCTTCTTCTTCTAGGTGAAAATAGTTCTTTATAAATCCGGCCGTGTGTGGGAAGTTTTTGTACGCTACAGCAAAGAAATAGTACTGTAAAAGGTTACTCAAACTTAAACTTAATGTTAGCCTGAGCCTGTCTGTCGCCCTCATCTTAATCATTTATTTTTCATACAGTTAGCACAAGTAACCACCCCACTTCCTTTCAGTCTGTTTCTGAATCAGGTTTTTGAGCCTTCCCGGTGTACTACTGCTGTTGGTGGTGTGTTTCGTCTCAGCAGGCCAGGAAACAGGATATTACTCTGTGTGTGTGTGTTTTTGTGTGTGTGTGTAAACGTTGTCATTTTCCGTGTATGGTAACTGTCACGCATGGATTACTGATATTTTTAAAATTGCACGTTGTCATTGTTACAGCAGTGGTTTTACCAAGCGAACCTCACAATGTAAAACCACACAGTTTCCCACACATACTGGTGTGCTAATGCTCTTAGTTGCCTTGCATTGCATCATAAAGCCCGCGAAACAGTCCTCCGAAGGTCCTGAGTCAGTAGACTAAGGTCCGCATCGCATTGCCAAAAAGCAGCCCAGTAGGGTTTGGCTCACATTTCAGCTCTGCCTCTCTGCTGAAGCATGCAGGCACACTGACAACAGTGCTACTTCTAGGACAGCTGCTGCTGCTGTATTCACCAGTCCCTGTCTCTGTTAGCTATCTCATGCTATAGTCATGCTTTGTTCGAGTCTGAGCCTTGATACTGCTGGATTTTTCAATCAGAGACTTTATTCTTACTGTCTGAAGGACTACTTTAACCCTTTTCCTGTTGTATATGTGTGTACTAACTCTACAGCATGTATGGGTTTATGTGTGATGTGAGCAATCACTGTCTGTGTACTTTGTGTGTGTGTGTGATTTCTCAGCTTCCTGGTGAGAGCCATTCCTTTATCCTAATGTATCCTGTAAAGAATCCAAGCAACTACTTCACTGCCAGTGGAATCTAATGTTTGTCCATTTGCTCACACAGCAAAGACTTTTACCTCTGCAATGCTCTTTAATGTTGTGTTACGGCAGAAGAATTTCAGTGAGGCATATCAGTGTTATTAATGTGAGCTAATGGGTCTCCTTTCTGTGTTATTTGATTACTCACTATGTAATTAATCAAGCAGTATGTGTTGCCACTTCAATCTGGCTAACCTGCACTTCCCCATTAATTTTTATGCTTTTTCTTCTTCTTCTCCCTCCTCATTTTTCCCTCTCTGTCTCCTCTCCCCTTTGATCTGGTTGTTTTCTTTTTGGCTCCCCCTCCTTTTTTCTTTCACCTGCTTCTTTTGATGTGTGCGTTTCATTTCTTTGCGGCGTGTATGTGTGGTCAGATGACAGCCGGCCGCTGCCACACACTCCTCTCCCCCGTGACAGAGGAGTCAGGGGAGGAGGGTACCAACAGCGAGGTCTCCTCTCCCCCTGCCTGCCGCTCCCCCTCACCGGGGGCTAACGCTGAAGCTGCTCTTAACCAGGTATTGCAAATCCCACCCTGGAAAACTCCAAACTGACCAGTATTACCTGATGGTCTCAACTTCCCTACTGCCACTTTGTGTTTTGCACCTTTAAACGTTCAGTCATCACCATCATTGTTAGAAGATAACACTTTACTCTTTAAAGCTTCAAATGTTGCAAAATGCAAAAGCTAAAAAATATTGAATATGTGGCAAAATTTTGACGTAAGGTAAATACATCCCCTTCTCTTCACCATCATCACCATAACAAACCAACTTACCACCCTACAGTGACCACCCCACCATCATCACTGTTAACACAGTATGTTTGAGAGAGCCGGAGATTTGCTGCGCTTATTTTACCTGCTTATCCTTTTTTTTTTAAATCGGCCTCCTGTTTGCATATTTACTTTGCTGATGGAAGTTTTGTTTGCCATTCCCATTTTTGTACACACAACTGAGGTGTCATCAAGTAGCTTTTTGTGCTGTCTGTGGCTGCGAATGATGTAGAAGTGAAACAGAAACACTCGTTGTGCTGGGAGAAACAGCAAAGGTCAAATTTTTTATTTTAGCTGTAAAATCTAAAATGCTGTTTTAGTGGCCTGTTATGTACCTCTACACTTAAATACTGAAAGAAAAAACAGGTTCAAAGAGAGCTGGGAAATATGTGGGAATTTAAACTAACTGTTGCTGTGGGGGAAATGCAGCAGCAGGTCTAAGTTAATCTGCCTTAGGATTGCCCCATGCCCACTGTGTGGCAGGATATGATTATGGGGGCAGCCTAATTTTAAAATTAAAGAGAACTACTATTACTGTTAACTCATGACATATTGACTTCAGTTATATAATAGAATAAAAACAACCATGATCAGTGTGTTTCATACTGGGTCGAAAGCCAAAGGGTATAAATGTGTTTTAAGATGAGTTTTGAAAATGGACAATGTAGGTGACTGTTTAACATGTAAAGTCAATTTATGAGAATACATAGAACACATAAGAGACATATTTCATACAACAAATGTAATTATTTGAAATTCATCTTTTGCTATTTATAACGCACATAAATTCTTCTGCGTTTCTGCTAGAAAGGTGTTAATGTTGAACTTATATATGACATAAACTAAATGCTTATTTCTCGTTGTGAGAGAGTAACTTGAGAAAGGAGGGATTTTATTCTGTTCTCCCAGCAAGAACAGAAAGTAACGTCAGCTGTATCAGCAAGAGACACCCGACTCAAGGTCAACCAGTTTCATTTGCAATGTTGAATTGCATTTTAGTAGGTAAAGTGGGATCAAGTTATAACATTTAGCTGCCTCTTTTTAAGCACGTCTGGGAAAAAAACATTTTAAAAGTACGTTTTTGTAAAACTTTCAGATTCTTAGGCCAAGTGTGCCGCTAGGCTTTTTATAGACTTTATGCTGTAAATGTAAGCCCAAAGGTTTCCCAAAGAACTATTCCCATCAATAGTGTACATCACTCTGACACACTAATGAAGCCCACTTACTTTTTCCTCGTTTCACAGGGTCGAGGTACACTAAGCCGAGTACCTCTGCAGGAACTGTACGACCCATCTATGGAAAGCAGTACTGCTAACTTGGACGACCTGCAGAGATCCTGGGAAACGCTAAAGAATGTGGTATGTCACATCTTCACTTTAATTCAACACATTTATTTATTTTTATTATTTGTGTTACTGTTAGACAAACACAATGACAAACTCAGGATTAGTTTGTCTCCTAGCATACTGAGCAAGACGCGAGTGGTCCCAAATTCCGGCCTGAAGCTTTAGTGACCTCAGACCGACACTGCCATGTCTGTCAGCTTGACTTTGTCATCATATTTTCAGATCAGTGAGAAACAGAAGAGCTTATATGAGGCTCTGGAGCGGCAGCAACACTATCAGGAGTCCCTCCAATCTATTTCCACCAAGATGGAGTCCATCGAGGGGGCGCTGAATGAGGGCTTAGAGCCCAACAAGACTCCAGAGAGCCAGATGGCTGCACACCAGGTGAGAGCTGAGTGGGGGGTGGTATTAGGGGAAATGTGCTCATGTGTGTTCTAAAGGGATAAAGGAACATAATGTAGTGCAGATAAAGAGTGTAAAAGTAGTAGTGTAATACATGAAGTGTAATCTGTAAGGCTCATGGGAGACATCCTCACAAAGATGGTATAGGCCAGCGAGCTCTTGGGAAACAGAGTACGACTCGGGGGTTTAATATTGCACGGGGCCAGGCAATGGTTGGACAGACTGCATGGCACTGTTCTTCGTTGCTATGCCAACATCACGGCTTTAAGAGAAACAGTTTGCTTTTGCAACACTACTGTCAAGAGGTTTCTGCACACCCTCTTTCACTGCTGGCACACCATCTTCTATTCAGCCTCTTCTTCTCATCCTTAATTAATTCCCATTGGCTCTTTTTTTTCTTGTATATTCTCATTTCAATCCTCACACACGTCTTATTGCCGTTTATTCAGGCTTTGATGGATGAGATCCTGATGCTGCAGGATGAGATTGGTGAGCTACAGATGTGCTTCTCTGAGGAGCTGGCAGAGAGTGATGGGGATGCTGGGGAACAGCTGGCCCTGCAGTCTACTCTCACTGTACTGGGAGAAAGGATGGCCACCATTCGAATGAAGGCTTCGGGGAAACGGCAGCTGTTGGAGGTGATTTACCAAGTCCTCATACTTTTTCTAGTTTATCATGTGCTTGTATATGTTATGTCTGCTCCTTATCTTTATAATTCTGGTGAGCTCACCTGAGAATTTAAGATATGCGTCGCATTGACCTCTACAGGAGAAACTAAGTGAACAACTGGAGGAGCAGCGACAGGAGCAGGCGCTGCAGCGATACCACAGCGAGGCCGAGGAGCTCGACAATTGGCTGCTCAGCACTCGCGCCACTCTCAGCTCTGCCCTTCAGCCCCAACATGAAGACATGGACATGGAGGAGCAGCTCATTGACTGTCAGGTGAGAAGCCAAATCTGCTCTAAACAAACAAAACCGGGGATGACGGCTTGTATGCTGCTGTGTTTTTATCAAAGGCTGAAGTATCTGGCTGCTTCACTGTCCTAGAAATGGTACTTTTTCTTGGACTCTCTGATCTTCATGCTTGCATTCACTTTCATTTCTATAGAAAAAAAAAATGCATTGTTTTTGTGTTTTTGGAGTCTTTTTATGGCAAATTGATTCAATTTGGGAAGGTGCTAACAAACCATAACTGCGCTTGAGCTTAATTAATTATATATATGTATATTTTTACAATATTATCATATGTTTATAATTAACATCATATGAGCATTTGAATTTTACGGTACCACTGTGCTTAAATAATTTAAAACTAAAATCTTAGTGTCCATTATTATTAAAGGTATACATATATATAAGTGATATATTTGTACTTAGAGTTTAAAAATAATTGTTTTTAACTTCTGTCTACATGTTGTTGTACTATATCAAATATCTCAAACATTTCATCCAATATTTCCTCCATCCTGTTGCCCTGGAGATCTTCTAGCTTTGCAGTCTTTTAGTTTAAATTTATAATTCATAGTTCTTTCTTATTTGTCACCATTAGATACTCGGTCCTACTTGATTTGCCCCCTGGGAATTTTCTGTATGTCAGGCTCATGATTTAATTTTTGTGGGGAGGGGAGTTATTATGTTAAAAATACTGTCACATCTAACTCCCTGCTGTGTCAAACTCAATATTTTCTTGTGGGGATTTACGGCAGAGCCTAGATGCTAAAATATTCATGTTGCACATATTCTACATTCATATTACATGTGAGCTGTGAGATGCTTACATATTTGCCTTGTGATGCTCCATAATAGGCTTCTTAGAAGTTATAATACTAGCTCTGTCCCCCAGGCAGAGAGTCAGTGTTTTAAAGAGTGTGTCTGTAGCAGCTGGGAGACAGTAAGCTGATTAAACTGTAGTTCACATATGCTTTGTGTGGTCTGCACATATAAAGGTCTGGACCATGCTGAGCTTCATGTCCAGATTAAATAATGATAAAAAAATTGGGTCTTAAAATTTCAGTTTTCTGGTTAATCGTCTTTTAAATGTGGTATGATATGCAGAGACCTTAGGAAAGTATTTTGTTGAACTTACTTAACCCACTCTGTTTATTTAAATGCCTGCACACCACAATGTAAGCAGCTTAAAAACTACTCACATATAATATGTCTTCAGTCTGTTCTCAATCGAATGCTTTCCTAACTTTAAACTTTGAGCTTTAATTGCGTCATCATAGCAGTTTCTATTATGTTGTTTACTCGGTCTGTTCATCAAAAGAAAAAAACTGCAAAACTTTGTAACTGGTGTTTGAGAATTTTAATTAAAATGCACTATGGAGGTTTTTGCTGAAGTGGAGATAAACCAGTTTCTTTGCCTGCCTCCTGAATGACAGAGTGACGCTACAAACTAAGGGATAAGAGGTGCACTGTATTGTTGTGGAAAATTCTCTGCACATGATCACCTCCCATCTCTACCGAGGGCCCTTCTTTCCCTGTGTGAAAGAAGAGAATACAAGCTTAGAGAATACAAACTACCGCCTCTCTTCACTTCATTACAATTATTGGCCTTTTCAAGCTCTCTCTGGACTTTTAGTCTAAAAGGGAAGACTCTTTAAAACTGTTTCTATTAAGAAACTAATCTGGGAGCTGAGGAGAGCAGCTTAAACCTATGAGAAATGCTAATGCTTGATCAACTGTAATCCTGTTTTTTTAATAGAATATGCTGTATGAGATCGAACAGAAGGTGTCGTACCTATCAGAGCTATCCGTCCATAGCGAGAGCTTGTTGTTGGAGGGCCGGGCTGAAACCAAAGGCGAGGCGGAGCAGCTCACACTGAAACTGCGCTCCCTCAAAGACAGCCTGCTAGAGCTGCAGCAGATGCTGCAGGACAAACAAGTTGACATACAGGTGAGATCAGCAGTCATATGTTATTTCTTTACTGTCTCAACATTCATGGCTGCATCAACCCTCCACACCCCAGTGTATTTTCACTTCCCAGCTTTCCTTCCTCCATGCTTCTTTGTCTTTTCTTTTGCTCTGCTGCATTATGTTGAATTGGCCTGCGACGTCAATGCTAGCATTGTGCAAAAAGTACTAAAGGCTAATTCATGCTCTTTCATAAAAGTCCACTGTTTTCCACTGTGAAACAGCAACAGCTGTGTGTCTCACAATGGCGCTTAGACAAAAGGATGCTGACTCATCAGATGTAAACACTAAATGTATTCGATCCGGTGCGTTTCTGAGGACACAACATGAAAGTTCCACTTTGCATTTTCGCTCCTGGTCTCCTTTAACATGCCCTTTTGGTTGTTCACATTAATCCTCAGATATTTAATCACTGTATAATAAATCAGAAGGCTAGTGAAGCTTTCTAGGTACATGCTTGCAGCAATCTCTGATGAATAAATATTAGTTCATCTTTACCATTCTCAAAATAATTTAATGATAAATATCATAGATATATGTTAGGCTATTAGGCATATTTATTTCTGCTTACTAAAAATTGGCTTAAAAATTGGCAGCTGTTAAATGCTCTTATTCCAAAATTACATCTTATACCTAATGTCCATCTTTCTCCCAGGGTTCACTGCAAGAGCAGGAGGACAGTGAGCCAGATTCGTCTCTGTCCCAGAGTCCTAACGTTCAGGACTGGCTCTCTCAGGCCCGGTCAACACGCACGCAGCAGCAACACGACAACCTGCGTCGACAGAAGGTAAGAGGAAGCTCTTTTATACTCTAATATATATTTGAAAGACCTAAGCTGACTGTCTCATATGCAATTTGTAATTATTACTTCCCTTTTATTAAATCCACTGCAAAAAGAAAGTGCATATTTCATATAGATAAAATCGAACACAAGTGTAATATATTTTGTAGGAGCTTCAGGAGCACGTCGCTGAACAGAGGAAGCTGCTCAAGTCTGTAGCCAGCGTTGGAGAGGAGTTACTCGGCCAACAAACCACACCCAATGGGGACAGGTATTTTATCAAAGATCTTGAAAAAAAATTTACGTCCTTAAAACATTTAAAAATTGTGAGTACTTTGTTTTTTCCAGTCGGGATTTTGACCACGACACAGCTTTTGCGTTGCCTTGCTCTCTAATGACGTCCTCTCCTTCCTGCAGTGAGGTGTCCGTGCCTGGTGGAGTGCTGCTGGAGAATGAGACCTTGTCTCCTCTGGAGCAGTTGAGACAGAGATGGGAAAACCTAAATAATGATCAGAACACAAAGCTGCAGCTCTCCTTGAACTCCCTGGAGCAAGACCAGCTTAGTCCGGTATACATGCCAGAAACTGTGCATTTTTATTTTATGCATTAAATGGTTTTAAAAAATCTTTAAATAAATGTGCTTACTAGAAGCTAGAAGTTTGTGTTCGTACTGTTTCTTCCACTGATGAAATTTCACACTTTTGTTGTTATGCATGCTGCCAGCGTGACCTTGAGCTTTCTCATATTTCGTTCTTTGTGTGCAGGTCCTCCACCGGTCCCGTCTGTCCAGTCCCAGCGTGGTGTTCAGAGGTGAGGCTACCAGCCAGGACTCTTGCTCTCCTAGAGCTTCGTTTGAGGCCTGCAGCCAGACTTTAGAAAGAATCACAGAGGAGGTGAAGCAAACATTTTCTCATGTTAATCTCTCTTTTGTGTTTCTCAAAATAAAAAATGTTTTTAACCAGTAATACAAAACTATTTTTATTCATGCCTTTCAAAATATCAAGTGCATAATCTTTTTGCCCCTCACAGGCAGCGGGCAGTGAGAGTAAGCTTGCAGCATCTTTAGGGGGGGCAACAATCCAGCAGGACCTGTATGCTGCAGTATCAGCTGCCTCGTCCTGGTTAGATGCTGCTGAGAATCAGCTGCTCGCTGGTCCTGTGCTGCTCTCTGAGGACACAGAGACACAGCTCACACATTTGGAGGTAGGAGAAGACAAACAGCAATAAAGATGTTAAATAGTCTGACATATAAATCGCAGCAGGAGGAAAAGTACTAGCTGTTCTCGAGCATTAACAAAAAGCTTTTGTCTTACTTGAGTTCAAGGTTTTAACATAAAATAATACTAACTGAGTTTGGCTCCCCTGTTTAGGGTTTGAATAAACAGCTAAAGGAGATGACCAGAGAAGTGAAAAATTGCAGAGATCTGCTGGGTGGTGGATTGGACAGGCTGTGTGGAGGTGAAGAGCGAGCTCTGATGGAAGACACGCTAGAGGGCCTGCAGGAGAGGATGGGCCTGCTGGACTCTGCATTGGAACAGCACTGTGACGCCATGAGGGACAGGCTGCAGGAACATTCAGCTTTCCAGGTGTTAAAGCTGAATAGTTTTACTGGAAACTTGGGTTGTGAAGCATCTTATTGATGTTACAACGTGATTGTTCTTATTCCCTGACTTTGTTTGCGTTATTTTTGCCAGAATGAACTGCGGTTGCTGTTCACAGCCCTGACTGAAAGCAAACACCAGTTGCTACATAAGATGGCCGGAACTGCAGACAGACCTGCATCCAAACAGATAGAGGTATGTATGCGCACTAGCAGAAAATACACAAGTATTAGATGCATATTTAAGATGCAGATTTAATATGCTAAAGGGAGTTTTTACAAACAGATTTTATAGTAAATATGTTGCATTTTCTACAGACATTATCAGAAGTGGAAGACAGCCTGAAGGAATTTGAGCAGAAAGTTACTGAGCTGAAGACGAAAGCAGAGGGACTCCAATCAGACTCGTCATCCAATCAGGAGCTACTCAAACTACAAGTAATACTTTCATTCTGTTACACTGTGATCATAATGCTCCAGCGCTGTAACAGGGACTGTTTCACATATTCATTTGTCTTTTTAGGATGCATACGAGGAGTTGGTGCTTATGGTGGGCTCCAGACGGAGTAGTTTGAACCATGGTTTGTCTCTGAAGGCTCAGTATGAAGCTGCACTGCACGACCTTAATGACCTGGTGGACACCGCTCAGGACAAGATGGCTGCTGACCAAAAGATGACAGTGGCTTCAGTCATAGAGGTTCAGATGTTACTAGACAAACACAAAGTAAGGAGGGGGCTTTGATTTTTTAACTTTCTAATTGGTTTTAGTTATCTTTTCTACTGTACAATTGGATTTAAAATGTTGTTTTTTTCTTTTTAATACAGGAGTTTTTCCAGGGTCTGGAATGCCATATGATCCTCACCCAGACATTTTTCAGTAAAGTGTCTGGTTTGGTGTCTCAGAGGGAAAGTCAAACCCTGGAAGAGACCATGGCTTTAGCCCACAGTGTGCTCAAACAGGCCCACAGAAGAGGAGTGGAGCTGGAGGGGATTCTGGAGGTAGGGATAATAATGAGCTATTGGTAAAAAGTAGCTGCAGTCTTATTCAGTTTAATCCCAAAGAGCAGTGGTTTGTGGTTTAGAAAATGAAAATAAATAGCATACGCTTTCCTTTCGCTCTCACAGTCATGGAGCAGACTCGTGGAAGACTATCAGGCTCTGTGCAGACAGCTGGAGGCGGTGGAGTGTAGCATCCCCACTGTGGGTCTGGTAGAGGAGACGGAAGAGAGGCTAACCGAAAGGATCAGCCTCTACCAGGTGAATGTCTTTGCACACTTTACAGAAAGCTGTAGTCAGATATGCTTTTTTAAATAAATTGATTATTTATCTGTTCCATCCTCTTTCTTAAAGCGACTTAAAGCCAGCCTGACTGAGCACCAGCCCCAACTCTATCAGGTACTAGAGGAGGGCAAGAAGCTTTTTCTGTCTGTTGGTTGCTCAGACTTGGAGAACCAGCTGACACAGCTGGGAGAGCACTGGCTCTCCTCCACCACTAAGGTCAACAAGGAGCTGCACCGCCTTGATTCGACACTCAAACACTGGACCAGGTAAGGGTCTGTGGTTACAGTCCTCTGTCTTGGTCTCTCAGCAACCCTGTTTGTGACACTTAGAGCCTGAATGATGTTGAAAGCATCCTCTAAGTCTGTGTGTTTGTAAATCTCAGGTACCAGAGTGAGTCAGCAGAGCTGAGCCACTGGTTGCAGTCGGCTCTGGACAGACTGGAGTTCTGGACGACCCAGTCGGTGACCGTTCCTCAGGAGCTGGAGACTGTCAGAGACCACCTCTGTGCCTTCCTGGTTAGTTGTGGTTTTATTAGGGCTGTCAACATTAACTCAGGTCCTCCATCCTGACAGCAGTCAAACTGTTTAATACCAACACCCTGTTTAAAAATACATGCATATACATTATTACTCCCACTGTAATTTATGTACATATAAAAAAAAAGATCTGTGCATTTTACTGTAAATAGTGACCATTTTTACATACTATAGTGTTTGGGGTTTTTTTGTACACTATTTGTCTTATTTTTATTTTTCTAATGTATCTCTATTTTACTTTTTCTTCCCATCCCTTGTGCTGCTGTAAAAAGAATAATTAATAATGCTTATGTCTACATCAGCAGCAAAAATGTGTCACACACCTATTAATGATGTAAAGTTAACAAATGTAAGTGTGAAATCCAACTCCTGTTTTTCTCTTTCTTGTAGGAGTTTTCCAAAGAGGTGGACGCTAAGTCGTCTTTGCGCTCGTCAGTGCTGAGTACAGGTAACCAGCTTCTGAGACTAAAAAGGGTGGACACGGCTGGCCTGAGGACAGCGCTGGGCCAAGTCGACACTCAGTGGGCTGAGCTGCTGACTCGTATCCCTGTAGTACAAGAGAAGCTCCACCAGGTTTGAGAAAAGCAGCTGTTACAAAGTCAGTATTTATCATAACTTTTTGGACATCTCTAACTTCTTTTCTTCTTTCTCCTTTCCTCAGCTGCAGATGGAGAAGTTAGCATCACGGCATGCCATCACAGAGCTGATGAGCTGGATCTCGCTCATGGAGAACATCATAGAGGAAGATCAGGACAGGATCATGGCAGCTGTGGGCTCAGCGGTGGTACAGGACTACTTGCAGAAGTATAAGGTACAAAGGTTTTCATGCCACCGGTCCTTGGATTGATATTTTTGCTCCCCATCATCTGTCTCATGATGCGTCTTCTTAATTTCACAGGGCTTTCGTATAGATCTGACGTGTAAGCAGCTGACTGTGGACTTTGTAAACCAGTCAGTGCTGCAGATCAGCAGTCAGGATGTGGAGGGAAAGCGCAGTGACAAAACGGACTTTGCTGAGAAGCTAGGGGCTATGAACAGAAGATGGCAGATACTGCAGGGGCTCATTGCGGAAAAGGTAGCCCTCAGAGTGTACTTAAAAGCTGCTCTTCACCATTTTTGAGTCACTTAACCATTCCACAATGTTCTGTATTTTAGATTCAGCTTTTAGAAGGACTTGTGGAAGGTTGGTTGGAGCATGAAAATGGAGTTCAGGCACTGAAAACCTGGCTCACGGTACAGGAGGAGAAATTGAAGAAGAGACAGAGGATAGAGGATGTAGCATCGGTGCAGAGTGCACTCAAAGACTGTCAGGTAGGACCACACTCACACAAAAATCTGTTTGTTTTTTTGTTTTTGTTCTTTAAATAATGAGCTTAAAATAAAGTTGTTTTCACAGGAGTTGGAAGAATTAGTGAAGGAAAAAGAGAAGGATCTAGAGAAAGCAGAGGAACGAGGAAATGCTCTCATCCAGGATAAGAAAGGAGCAGCTTGCTGTGTTGTAAAGGAAACTCTTAAAGGACTAAACCAGTCCTGGGCTCATTTGGACCACATGGTGAGCTTCTCACATCTCTGATGTCACTTTTAGATGGTTTCTGAATTTTCCCACACTTACGTATTTCATCTCCCACTTTTCCTATCAGATAAGTCAGATGAAAGTGAGCCTGCGGTCGGTGCTGGAGCAGTGGACATTGTACCGGCGAGCTTCAGAGGAGATAAATGGCTACCTGATGGAGGGGCGTTATTCTGTGTCCAGGCTACGTCTCCTTAATGGGTCTCTGGAGGCCGTGCAGCAGCAGGTGGAGAGTCTAGAGGTGAGAAGTGCAGAAAATAACCCGCACGCTGTTATTTGTGGCTAGTTTTTATTCATTGTTGGTACCTGTGCCATTTAGAGCCTTCAGGAGGAGATGGATAAACAGGAAAGTAGTTTGAGGAAGTTTGGCTCCATAACTCACCAGCTGCTAACGGAGTGCCACCCGTCGGTGGCGGAAACGCTCAACAAAGCTCTCCGGGACGTCAACATCAGGTAACAAACAACTCATCTCTGAGTGACTTCAGTATTAAATATCAACTATACCCTCAGTTGATTTCAGAATATAACACTTTTTAAAATGTTCTCCCTTAGGTGGAATCTTCTGCTAGAGCAGATCTCAGAGCAGCTAAGGACCAGTAAGTCCTTGCTCGGACTGTGGCAGCGCTACAGGTCACTGTACAGCCAGTGCGTGACTGCAGTCCACAAACAGGAAGAACGTGCTGATCGACTTCTGAGGAGCGCCACTGACAGGGAGATAACTGAAGAAGAAAGCAGTGCCTGGATTAAGGACTGCAACGTAAGCAGAGATGAGACACTGGAGCACGACATGTTAAACATTCTCTTCTGTAGTTATCGTCCAATGCCTGAGCTTAGCATTAGGTTATTACTGCATCCACATATTCTGTGGCTTAGAATATATCAGAGGATTCCTCCTGCTATCCCTCAATCTCCTTTCTGAGGAATTTGGGAATAAGCTCCTAAACTGCTTGTCAGCTCACTGTGATGGCTCACAAAGCTTCTATCCGCACTGCAGAATACCACCCTGTCCTTTTGTCCGCTTGAATGTAGATTCATGACACAACTAACAAAAGCCTTTTCAAGGGAGACTGCAAAGGGAAAGACAGGCCCCTGATTTACACTACAGGGGTCCCCCCCGGTGTCATGCTGGGTTTGTAGGACCGTACTGGGGCATGTCTAGAGACACAGTCTTAATACTGTAAGCCGACTGTTTTTATTTTTTACTGCGGATCACTGATGCAAACCACTGCCAGACAAAGTTAAGAATTCAGAGCTGCTTACACTCTGTTTAAGAGTTTCTTCACTTTTATTGCTCACTCAAACTTGTTGTAGTCAGTAGCAAATGATACTTTAGTTTCCAAAAATTCCAATCCTTCCAAATTCCATAAATAAAAACCCAACACATTTTGGGAAATTACCAGTTTTGGTTATAAATTCTTGTATGTCTGATGTGTGTGCGCAGGCTTTCAGTGATTCCTAGCTTCTTTTTCTCTCTTCCTGAAAATATTATTGCAGGATTGCCTTTGTGACCAAGACGCGGTGCAGCAGTCCCTCCAGCAGCTGCAAGCACTGGGGGAACAACTGAGGAGCCAAGTCGACTCCTCCTCAGCGGCATCCCTTCAGTCCGACCATTTGTCGCTCACGCATCGCCTAGCAGCACTAGAGCACGCCCTGCACAGGCAACAGGATGTATTGCAGGTAGGGTTGTGGGAACTAGAAGAAAAAAGACACCTTAAAGAAAGGTATGCGATTGGTAATCCACTGAGTTTGTATTTACACGGTATCACCTGTCTGTCTCTAGTCCGGATCTGTGACGTGTGGGGTTTTCAGAGAGCAGCTAGACAAACTGATCTGCATGGCTGAGGAGGCTGAGGAAGTGTTGAAGGAGTCGGACCCAGTGGGTTCACCCGACCTTAATGTGGTCCAGACGCGTATAGAAAAACTCAAGGTATTAAGAATGGTCCACATTAGAAGATTTGTTTTTAATGTGTTATTTAGCATTATATTTTTATGTGTCGCGTGTCCTCTAACTTACATAATACTTTTCCAGGGTCACCTGTTGAAGCTGAGCAGTCTATCTCCAGACTTGGAACGTGTTAACGAGATGGTGTACAGAATACCAGTCAGTGACAGAGACATTAAACGGCTTCAAAGTCTCAACAGAGCCTGGGCCACTCACTCTGCTCACCTCACCGAGAGGTTCAGGTACCAAAAATCCCCCTTTGGTTGCCTCAGGAAGGGACTCCAATGTAAACCTCTGCCAAATCAAACTACCCGCTGTGGGGGATCCTTTTTTATACAGTACAACTTCAGTGGGAAACCCCTAACATGGCTGACCTCATCAGTGTCTTACTGAAAGCATTTTGGCATTTGTCTTTTTAGGTTCATGCTTCTTTGATATGAACTCTGATACATACAAAATATTTGCCACTGGGCATAAAATACAAGGGGTCAGAACTTCATTCTTACAGCATGGCAGACGGATACAAGTGTGCTAGAGTGTTTTTTCTCAAGTTATTGCATTCTGGGCATTCTGAGACATGTGACATGTGCATGCTGTTTAAAGTGGTCTGTAAATGTAGAACCAACATGATGAGTTTGCTCTCAGAAGTGACCAGAGCGAGCATTTAGACATGACGCCAACCAGTTCAAAGTCATATTATCGAAAGGAATGCATGTTTGAAGGGGACCTAACAAACATGGGCGAAGTCTTTTTATTCAGACTGTTGACCTTGAGATGTTTATACTGTCTGACTTCACAGTTAGTCATTTATTAGGTGTTTATTTAAGTCTTTAAATAGTGACTTAGTCATTATTAAATAACTGGCTGACCTGGAAAACATCTGAAATCCATAATAATGTTGATTCATGGAACAAAAGGTCCCAAAAGTCATAAACTTTTAATAAAGAAGCTGATAAAAAGGAAAAGATGCTACACTGACACTGATAGAGATGTGTCCTTCACTTATGCTAGATTATAACCTGCCATATCATAAAAAATCAATAGAAAACTGTAAAAGTTTGATGAATTTAATAGTAGAAACATGCAAAGTTGTGACTACACAGTGCTATAGTGATCTTCTTTGTGGTGATGTAAATGTCTCTAATGAGGGCTCTATTCGTCTCCAGTAAACTGCAGTCGGTGTTGCTCCAGCAGCAGAGTTTCCTTGAGAAGTGTGAGGCCTGGATGGATTTCCTGACTCAGACTGAGAAGAAGCTAGGTGCCGAGATCTCAGGCAACTACCAGAGTCTGCTGGAGCAACAGAGAGACCATGAGGTCAGTGGTTGTCTGTATATATCAGCTTATTTGTGTGACATTAAAGGATTGCTGCTATGCTGTTTAGCGTTTTCTTTGATTGCGTGCAGTGTTTTATTGATTCATATGTGTGCATGTGCAGTTGTTCCAGGCAGAAATGTTCAGCAGACAGCAGATTCTTTACTCCATCATAAGTGACGGGCATCGTTTGTTGGACCAAGGACAAGTTGATAAGAGGTAAAAGCACGCAGACAATTGCTAAATCTCTTTAAGAGTTTCAGGGAAATTAAGGCCAGAGGGATGCTAACATGCTTTTCTTTCTCTTGCCATGCTAACAGTTACGACTTCAGTGTGAAATTGGCTTTGCTGAGCAATCAGTGGCAAGGTGTGGTGAGGCGGGCACAACAGCGGCGAGGCATCATCGATAGTCTGGTTCGGCAGTGGCAGAACTACCGGGAGATGGCAGAGAAGCTGCTCCGATGGCTACAGGAAGTGACCCGTGATCCAGATGTGCATCAGCCAGGAGAACCAGTGGCTCTGCAGCAGGCCAGAAACCTGCTAGGTCAGATACAGGTAAGCTTCAGCAAGACATTTACAGCCTTATTACTTAAATCTTCTCTTTTGCTTTTTATACTAACTTTGTACTGATATTCTAAAATTTTCTTTTGAAATCTGTAAAAAAAAAAAAACTGTAAAAACAAACTTTATAGCCATCCTGAGCCTTTCACTCTTCAAACTGCAAAGCTTAATTGAGCACTAAATTAACCTAAAAACATCAAAATCCTGATCTGATAACAAAACTCGACCCTTAACCTGAACACTCTCTGCCTCATGTCTGCTCCTTCAGCTGAGGGAGCGAGTGCTTCAGCGGCAGCAAGGAGGCTACATCCTCACTGTAGAGGCCGGCAGGAGTCTGCTGCTGTCAGCGGACGCCAAGGCGGAGTCCACACTGCAGACTGAGCTGATGGAGATTCAGGAGAGGTGGAGGCATGCCCACCATCGCCTGGACCAGCAGAGGAGGCAGCTGCAGGGCTTACTGAAGGTCAGACGCCAGCTTCGAGAATAACTAATCTTCATAAAGTATACTTTTCTTTTCCTGCTCTCGTGATTGCTAGCACCATCTGGTTCGTGTTTTCCTGAGTGTTATTGTTACAGTGATTTTACAGCAGTAAGTTTTTTACAATGTCAAGTCTTTCTTGTACGTAGGCTAAGCCATGTTTCCCACATACTGCAGTGTAGAAAGGTGCTGTGAAGGGTGCTGAAGGGCATTGGCCCGTCTGAGCCTTTATTGAGCATGCCCAGTTGTACATATAGGACAGTGGAGCCAGGTTGTCACATTAATTATGCAGCGTTGCACCTTAAGGCCTGAAAAGAGGCGAAGTGCAGAGATGGAGCACTCTTCTGTCCTTATATAAATAGCTGAGCCTCTCTGCTCACACACTCAAGCACCACAAAATGGCACCAAGATTTTTTTTAAAAAGTGCCAGCCCAGGGCAAACACAGACACACACATACAGGCACGCACACAGACTGCAGATACTGCAGTGAGCTGTAATGATTTGAACCCAGCGAGGTGGATTTTAGAGGCTGTGATAGTGCCCTGTTTAAAACGGGACTAAGTGACGCAGTTTAAAGACACACCCGGGGTTTTGGCTCTTTCATTGAAGGTCTTCGTCATACACTCTTTCCCCTGTGATCTGTGTTGTCTTCCCTGGTTTGCTCTTAATCAGCTGCTGTAGCATTTCTAGTCTTGTTTTGGCTCTTCTCTTACTATGACTCTTGCTTCAGGTATGCTGGCTTTCTCCATTGCTTACCAAATACTGTAATATTTTTTCATAAACTGGACTGCTGTTTAGTCTCTAAAAATAGCTGTAATCCACGTCCTCTGGAGCAGAACCTCCCTGTTTTTTGTTAGAGAGCTGTTTATGCTGTATCACTCTTTCTCGAGCTGCTACTTGAGAGCTTCAGAGCTAAGTGGGCCATTTGTAAGTGATGTGGTCTGACTTCAGCCTTGTGATGTGTGTCCTTGTTAGTCTGTAATTGTGTATTCTGCATTTTACTGCTTGTGATGCCATTGCTATGGCTGCAAGAAGAACACACAGCATCTTCCCTGTAAATGGGAAGGTGTGCAGTCGGTGTGTGTGTGTTATGTGTGTGTGTGTGTTGGGGGGTGTTTTCTGCTCTAATTCTTACTGTGCGTGTGCTTGCATAGAACTGGGAGCGATGTGAGAAGGGCATAGATGTGTCTTTGGAGAAGCTGAGGGCCTTCAAGAGAAAGCTGTCTGTGCCTCTGCCTGACCACCATGAGGAGCTGCACTCAGAGCAAATCAGATGCAAGGTGAGGAGAATATGATACTTTCTCTCTTTCTCGCACACACATACACACTCTTTTAAATATTCTTCATTTTTCTGTTTTAGCTTAATGCTTTACTGAAAGTGTTGATATGTAGATCCTCTCCACTCTCCATCCTACTGGCTGTTTCTCATCAGTCACATCCCCCCTTTCTCTCTCTCTGTCTAAACATTTACACATCAACAAACTCTCGTTACCTCTTTAATCTATCTGCGGGGATAAACGGACAAACAGACGGAGCAGGAACAAAAAAAAAGAAAAAAGAAAGAGAAAAAAAAGCTCTTTTCTATCAGTCTGCTGTCTGATTGCGTGACCTTGTGTGCGGTAGTCAGGGTAGCTTTATTTTCCTTTGAAGACATAACATGTCATTTCCGAAAGTTTTTTTTGTTTTGTTTTGTTGTTTTTTTAAGTGACCCTTTATTAATTTAAAGACTTTTTTAATTTGACCCAGGCCCTACCGTTCTTTTTTTTTTTTTCTTTTTTCTTTTACTTCATCTCCACCCAATAGTGTATGCAGTCATGTTTCATGCATCACACGTCCTCGGCTGCTCCTCGGGGGAGGAGGGGGAGGAGGAGGAGGACCGTGTGAGTAGCTGCACATAGAATCAGCTGAGGAGAAAGGGGGTGGGGAAAGAGAACGAGAGAGAGAGAGAGAGAGAGGGTGCGTGCGCATGAGACAGAGAGAGAGCATCCCTGTGTGTGTGTGTGTGTGTGTGCGTGCTTCCTTTTTGTATGTGTGTGAGTTGCGTAATGGAGACATGCTCTGGGTCTGCAAATGATTACAGCACAGCAAAACCGTCACAATGACGGAGGAGGAGATGCAAGGTTGGATGCCTCTGTTACCTTATCTGCTATTAGCCTTGAGTGTAGCTGTTTTTTGCATTGAATATGATGTGCTGCTGTTATTTTAGGGATTTACAGAAAACCAACGTCGAATCATAGCATTTGGCACCGCGCCTTCCTCTAATATTCATTGTCACTTTGCTGTTTTGCATTTTCTTAGTGTTTCGGGAGATGCAGGTGCTGCAGCTCAGCTTCAGCAGACATGCTCTGTGGTTTTTCCTGCTTTAACCAACTCTGGCTGTGCTCATCATGAGGGAATAAATCCCTCTCGACAGGCTCGCTGCTGTCTTTGCATTCGAACGTGGGGACTGCTTGCCTTGCTTCTTTTTTCCTACTTAATTTCTCGTCGTCATGGATGCAGGAGCTGGAGAGCAGCGTGGAGGGCTGGACCGATGACCTTACTTCCTTATTCCTGCTGAGAGACTCTTTGGAGGGCGTGGTGAGTGCTGATGACATCACAGTTCTACAAGAACGCCTCCAGCTGCTACAGCGCCAGTGGGAGGAGGTCTGCCACCAGGTACATCCACGCAAACACACACATTGTTGTGTCTTCTCTTTTAAGGACTTTGCTCCAGTCTGGTTTCTGTTTTTAAAACCCTATTAATTTCTATTTAATTCATCTTCCACCAGTTATATTCTTTCTCTTGATATGCTCACTTTTGATACTGCTTTTGTCACATATTCTCACTCTCACCCCTTCTCTTGTCCCTGTCTCCACCCGTGTCCCCTCAGCTTTCCCTGCGCAGGCAGCAGGTGAGCGAGAAGTTGAATGAGTGGGCCGTGTTCAATGAGAAGAATAAGGAACTGTGTGAGTGGCTCACACAGATGGAGAGCAAAGTCTCTCAGAATGGGGACATCAGTATCGATGAGATGATTGAAAAGCTGCGCAAGGTAATTTCAAAACAGTCTAATGCACTTGTAAAGAAACTACTAAAGAGTATGCTTTGATACAGAAGTATCGAGTACAGACAAATGAAAGAGTTGAGTCTGGCTTGTTTTGAAGTCTGAAAATGGCCCGTCTTGACTTACTAAAATACAGCTAAACTATAGCACTGAACCGCTGTGTTGACCTCATGTGTGTTTGCACACCAGGACTACCAGGAGGAGATCAGTGTCGCTCAGGAGAACAAGCAGCAGCTGCAGGTTATGGGTGAGCGTCTGGCCAGAGCTAGCCAAGACAGCAAGGCGACGGAAATCCAGCACAAACTCAACAAAGTCAGCGAGCGCTGGCAACACCTGCTGGATCTCATTGCAGCCAGGTGGGTGTACGAGACTTGTAGGAAGGGTCCATGTCCAAACCAAAAAGTTAAAGTAGTAAATGTTTCCCAAGCTGTCTTAAAGTTTGAACAGTTTTCAGTGTCAGGACAATACCAGGACATTATGTTGAATTAAATGTGTTTTTAATGCTGATAAGAAGCAGGCCGGATTTACTAAATGGGGCAAACTAGCATGTGAGTACAGTGAGTACAGTTACAAATGTTAGTAAATCAGTTTGCATGATTTATATGTTCTCCTTCCTATATTTTTCCCCTAAAGAAAGGAATTCCTAAAAATACATGCAACAGGATCAGTTCCCATTGCTTTCACTCAAGCTTGTCATGTGTTTTTGTGTAAATACCAAAAGTACAGTTTTTACGCCAAAACCCAGTCTAATGCTGTGGTAAATCTGGCCCCTACTGGGAACAAGGAGGTACTAGTTGAACTGGAGCCTGTGGGGAATTAATTTTCCCACCGTGCTGCTGAGGAATTTCCTTACCAGCATCAGTGGGGCATTCATTTAGTGAAGCTGAGAGAGAGGTCACATTCCTCATCACTCCTCCACTTTTTCAAAAGCTTCCAAAGTCCAGTCCACTGTGCTGACAGCTGTGGGATATACACCAGTAGTCATGCATTAGTAACACAAACAACTAAACAACAGTCTGCTCAGTTTTAGTGCTGATATGAAAGGTACTAAAAAATGCACGCTGAAACTAGAACTGTAAGCAACGTAGGATTAGTGAATTGAAAGTGACCTGGCCCAAACTTTGCCTCTAGCTGCCCCGGTCTGCTGTCTTCCGGCAGTTCCCCTCTGGGACTGTACTGGGGGAGGGAGGAAAAGGAGAACTCTTTCTAACCTCACACAAACAGCTGCAGACTCTTTGTTTCTTATATCCTTCCTTTGCTAAAACAAAACACGAAGAGTGACCTTGTTCCTCTCACAGACTGAGCAGAATGTGTTGTAAGTTAACATTTTCATAGTCTTTGGATTTTGTCTTTTCAGTGGAAGCCATGTTTTATTACTATTGTCCATCGAGCTGCGTGTACATGCGCAAAGTTTACAGTCCTTACTGCTGTTCACACTCCCTCTGTGTGTCTGATATTCCAGCACAGTCCAGCTCTGCAGCACATGCCTCTGACTATAAGTCTCTTTTTAGAAACAGCAGCACTTGTCACTCCACTCGCACTTGAGCACACACACACATATCTGTTGGAGCTTCTCTTTTTTTAACCTTGGAGAGCAACAGTTGATAAGTCACAGTTGTGCCACCCTGCCACTACCTGCTGGCCCTCCCACTCTGTGCACACAGAGTTGAGAGAAAGTCCCATGTGCTGCTCAGAGACGAAACAGAGCGTTCGGACTGACACTTCCTAAGGTTAAGATTGTCTTTAGGAATCCCGCACCCCCATGGTTTTGGATTTGGGTACGGATAATATGGAAGGATGCGCGAGCGAAGAGGATTTGCTGGATTGCGACTGCGATGTCAGCAGGCAGGATGACCTTAAGAATTTATATTACAATTTATATTTTATATATATTTTTTTTTCAAAAGTGTTGTTTTCTCTTGTAAGTCATATGCATTATGTTGCATTTTTAACATATTCCTGCTACCGTTTGTAGAAGTGCATATAAATAATATTTTAATTAGGTCATTAGTGCCTAATATAGAGGTTTTTGTTGCCCCAAGTATTTTAGCTTCATGAGTGCACATCTGGTTTAATTTGTGCTAATAATATTTTTTAAGTCTTAGCTAGTTGGTATTTTTCAGGAGGAGGCTAAAAACAAAAAGACAGTTGTGTGTTGGTGTTCATGTGAGAGCATCATCATTTGTTGGCTCACATCTTATCTGGCCCGAACGGACGCAGTGAAGCTGTGCAAACACGTACAAAAAGCAAGTTCAACAAATGTTTACCTATTTGAATTATTTGCAGTCTGTCATTGATGAGGATTACTTGTAAAGCTCTTCACTTTATTTCCCTGTGATGTAAAAAGTCAAGCTGTTTTATCCTACAGTATTTCAAGTGTGACAGTAGATTTAGGAAGTGGAGATGTGGTGTGCAACTGATATCATGCAGCACCCCATGCAAAGCAAAATCCAGCTGCAGGTTGCATACCCCAGTGCAGCCAGTCGTGTAATAATGGACTTTATATGAGGTGGAGGAGACTTGCTAAATGCATCTATTTTTAGAACATTATGGGCCTCGGTATGTTTATGCAACAAAGAGCGGCCGCAGCTTTCGTTCTTACTGCGTCCGTGTGGTGACATACAGACAGGGTTGCATTGCTTTGCAGGGCGAGGTGCTGAATGTTGCACTTGCTGAACAAAACTTGTAGTTGGATGCCACCTAATATACAGCACTAGATTGCAGGGGTCAGTGTTTGAAAATGTCTGGAACTTACAGATCCAAAATGGTCCCCAGCTGTCATATGGGCTTCGAATCTGCTCACATGTGAAATAACACTCGATTTAGTCTATTATGTTAAGGTTGGTTAGTTCCTTCTTTAAAGCCTGCTTGTGTAATTTACCACCATATCCCTTTATATTCTGTTTTTTAGATTATTTATATTATATGCTGTCACCCACCTGAGCAAACCGTTAGATTTCTCTTATTTACAGTTTACAGTTGTAACAGTACTGACGCTGACTTCTTCTCTGACTTTGTTCCAGGGTGAAGAAGCTGAGGGAAACCCTGGTGGCGGTACAGCAGTTGGATAAAAACATGAGCAGCCTTCGGTCATGGCTCGCTCACATTGAGACCGAGCTGTCCAAGCCCATCGTCTACGACACCTGTGATGACCAGGAGATTCAGAGGAAGCTCAACCAACAGCAGGTGGGAACCAGACACACACGCGTAACTTTTACTAGGCTCATTTACTGATGTGTTCACGGGCCTTTTAGGTAATAAAAAAACAGAATAAAGAAAACAAGTGCTCATCCTTTGTTTGAATTTACAGAACTTGGCCAGCATGTGGTAGGCATTGGTCTTACAAACCTACAGTGCAATGCTTAGATGTATAAGCACCTTTGCAAACACATAGAAGCAGATATGTATAATGTGTGTCTTTTTCTGCAAAGACTTAATTATAGCAGGACCTTATGACTCAAAGCAAGTTGGTGGAAAATGACACAGAAGCACATGAGGAAATCAAAGCATGACTCTAGCTGTTTGTTTACATTCAGTGCTCTGTAGGTGTCAATAGACGTCCTCCTGCCAAGACGCTTCTCTAAATCTGGTCTGGATTCTGGGACCCCACTAACCCCATTCCTCTTCCAGAGACGTACTTATCTTACACATGGATTTACTGTAGTTTGCCAGGAGGGCTGATTCTTATCTGAATGAATTTATGGTGCCAGAGGAGCTTGCTTTCTCTCAGAAAACTTTATGACATGGGTCCTGAAAATCAAGTAATTATTCTGAATGTTCTCCAGGAGCTGCAAAGGGACATAGAGAAACACAGCACAGGCGTGGCGTCGGTGTTGAACCTGTGCGAAGTCCTGCTGCACGACTGCGATGCCTGCTCGACTGAGACGGAGTGCGACTCCATCCAGCAGGCCACCAGAGGGCTGGACCGACGCTGGAGGAACATCTGCGCCATGTCCATGGAGAGGAGGCTCAAGTCAGTGCATCCTCAGTAAATTCTGCCTAATTTGCAACAAGATTCTGCACTGGTGTTGAAATTCAAACAAACCCTCAATCAGCTTCAGAATCATGACAATTTGCTACCACCTCTGATACAAGTAATACAGTGACATATATTGATTTCAGAACATTTAGTGAGCTCGTTCAACCGCCCTCATACTGTAACTTGTTTCTCTGCAGGATTGAAGAAACTTGGAGGTTGTGGCAGAAGTTCCTGGATGATTACGGCAGGTTTGAGGATTGGCTCAAGACCTCAGAAAAAACAGCAGCCCTGCCTAATTCCTCTGGAGTTCTCTATACCGTCGCTAAAGAGGAGCTCAAGAAGTTTGAGGTTTGCATATTTAAGATTTATTCCCACAACAAAGAGTAAAGGTCAGCCTGCAACTTGTGCAGCCTCGGCTGCACAAGTTGCATGTGTTTATACAGTTAAAATACAGTGATAAATGTGAGAAGATCGAGACAGAAGAAAGAAGAGTGTCACATTGCAGAAACTCGTTTGCTCTGGTCTGCTCAGCTGCTGCTGTCTGTCACTGTGCACGTGTACATTCCTGCTAGCTGACCCGCCTGAGCCTTCGCCAACTGTCCTACTTGTGGCTGAACAGAGAGTTCATTTTAGTAGAATTGTAAAATTTTAGGATTTTAATTAGGATTTGAAATGTAAGAACCTAATTAGACATAATTTCACATTTTTTAAGGATTTTGATTCAAAGTTTATTTTTGAATCAAATCTTTAGCCGACTGCAGCGACTTTCGCTTTTCAGAGTTATTTTTGATATATCATCTGAACTTAAACCATATATAACCATTATAACCATCTGTAATCTTTGTGTATTTGTGTAGTGTAATATATATCCCTTTTCCTCTGGACTTATGTGTGTTGCAGGCTTTCCAGCGTCAGGTGCAGGAGTGCCTGACCCAGCTAGAGCTCATCAACAAGCAGTATCGTCGTCTGGCCCGGGAAAACCGCACAGACTCCTCCTGCCGTCTCAGGGAAATGGTGCACGATGGGAACAGGCGATGGGACAACCTGCAGAAGAGGGTGGCTGCAGTCATACGCAGGCTAAAGGTAGCTTTCTTTGAGGACTGTGAGGTTTTTGAAATCACCCTTGCCATTGAGCTTATTTCTTTTCTTTCTCTGGTCACTGGCTTTATTGAAAACAAATATCCAAAATCTGAAATCATAAAGCATGGGTGTTTGTCTGTCACAGCACTTCATCAGCCAGAGGGAGGAGTTTGAGACTGCACGTGACAGCATCCTGGTGTGGCTGACTGAGATGGACCTACAGCTCACCAACATAGAGCACTTCTCCGAGTGTGACGTACAGGCCAAAATCAAACAACTCAGGGTAAGACGATTTTTTTGAGTGCATGGCAGCATACTATTGTCTTTTCTCTCTTGTTTGATGAAATCACAATACTTGAGAACTGCTTTTGACATGTCTAGTTAATTTTGGGTAAATTAAAAAACAAACAAACGTGTTTCTCAACAGGCGTTTCAGCAGGAGATCTACCTGAACACGGGGAAGATCGAGCTGGTGTTCAGGCAGGGTGATGCTCTGATTGAGAAGAGTGAACCTCTGGATGCAGCTGTCATCGAGGAGGAGCTGGAGGAGCTGCAAAGATACTGTCAGGAGGTCTTCGGACGAGTGGACAGATACTACAAGAAACTCACGCGACTGCCTGTAAGTAAAAATAAGTAAGCTAGCCTGCCGAATTTCTGAATATCATCTAACGACAATATTTCGGAGCAGGTGAAGAATTTTCTACCCCACATGCAGAAAGCTTTCAGGGCAGATTTGAGGGTACACGGCAAACAGTCTGAATGAAAGTGCAAGCAGATGTGTTTTTATGAAGCAAATTCTGATTAATGTGAAAAACATGTCCTATTGAAATGTCAGAAATGAAGCATGAACTCTCATTGCAGTGGCAACTTCCTTTGTTTTTAGTTTTCTTGTATTTACAAGTTGCACTTCTGCTTATTTCCAGGACCTGAAGATGTTAAAATAAACACATCTTCACACTCCTGACATGGTGTAAACATGCCGGACAAAGACACTGAGCATGATTGTTAGGATGTCAACATTTCAATACACATGCTCACCTACCTAGTCCTTAGAAACTGCACTCTGTCATGTTTTAGTTTGAAATTGCAACATTAACTATATCTCTCGTCTCGCCTGTCTCACTCAGCTTGCAGACGACGAGCTCGACGGTTCAGACAGAGAGCTGGATATGGAGGATGGAGGAGACCTCTCTGAAATGCAGTGGAGCGACTCCTCTTTGCCCCGGACATCAGCGCGTCCAGCCTCGGGCACCGTGGCTCTCGTCCGGGCCGACCGCTCAGGCAGAGACACCCCGGCCAGCGTGGACTCCATCCCGTTAGAGTGGGACCACGACTACGATCTGAGCAGAGACTTGGAGAGCCCCTCAGGACGAGGCAATGGGGAAAGAAGCCAAGGGCAAGAGGACGAGGATGAGTATATGAGGACGGCTGCCACGGCACTATCAGGTTGGTCTGATGGATGATTAGCTTGATTTAACATTTCCCAGAAATAAACAGTTTTGATGGACTTGCTTAAGCACATATATACACATATACATATAGTAGGATAGGATAGGACTATAATAGGATAAATAGTTTAAAGTTTTGCAGTAACAGCATGGATGACATCACACATTTGCCCTGTCAGCAGAGGGGTGGATGTGAACAATTAATAAAGATTCATTTATGTCAATTCAATTCAGTGTAATAAAAATAAATAAATATCTAGAAAGTACCATGTTTTTTTTATTTGTGACAGGGGACACAAAGGCAGTCTTAAATTAGTGCACAGCAGAGCAGCTTAACATGTGACATTTGTCTGCAGGCAAGAACACAACCTATAATATTTTTTATAAATAAGAAAAGCACAAAATGAGCTCACGCGTAAACACTTGTCATCGGAATCACTACAAATTCATTGTTAAATAGTTAAAGACTTCAATCAAAGACAGAGATCCCTCAGAGATCCCTCAGAGATCCCTCAGAGTCGTGTGTGCATTGTAAGTAGTGTCTGTTGTATGTCTCTTCCCAGATGTAGTTATCCCAGAGAGCCCAGAGGCCTATATAAAACTGACAGAGAAAACACTGAAATCATCCTCTGGTAGGAAACAGCACGCGTTAGAAGCGCATGCCGTCAACTAAATCACGCTTGTTTTTGTTTTTTAAGCAGGCTGGATGTCCAACCATCTAGATAAATCTTTTTATAGCTGCATGCAGGCATGAGTTTTCACTCACTGAATAACCACCGCATTTTTAGTATTGTGCGTCCACATTTGTGTCACATCTAATATCATAAAACTGAGCTCTTGTTTGCGATGTCTTGCCGGTATGTTGCGTTTCAGACTAATGCATGCCATTTCAGCCCCATTCAACACCACAAGCATGCTAATACAGATTTGTGTTATTGAAACTTTTGCTCCTCTGTTTATGTAGATCTGCTTGTGCTTTTTGTGCAGGTGAGCCAGGCCAGCTGGAGGCCAGTCTCAGGCAGCTGGACCAGGCTTTGGACGCAGGGCGGTATCACCTCCAGCAGAGAGAAGCCACTGCCAACCGGGTCAGCCCCGATGTGGACTCCACTTACATGGGCTACGTGAGTCTTCCTCATGTTTGTTTGATGTCTTAAAGCAACATAAATGATGAATAGCAGCAGTAGTAGCTTCTTTCAGCTGCTCCCTTGTTTAAAGGGGGTCACAGCAGCAGATGGGTGTGCAGACTTTTGCACTGACACAAAGCCTCCCAGGGATTTGTGTTCCCTTCTGCTCTCAAAGCAGGGATCTTCTGCACATTAGGGAAATAGTTTAACCACTAGACTGACACAAACAATGAACGGTAAAAACTATAACATTGTCATATGAAGGTTTAGATCATACATTTGGATCTTAATGATAGATTAAATGCCCTAAAAAACCCAACTAAAGTCCAGTAGTGATGTAATAGTTAATCATGATCAGTGTTACTTTAGGATGGATTGCATCTTGCTACATGCAGGATTTTTATCCCTAATTCTCTTCTTATTCTTAAACAAAGGTTTTTAAAGCGTGATGAAAATGCAGTAAATGCCATGTGGCTCATGTTCTCCTCACAGATGCGTCTGATGGGAGAGTGTCGCAGCAGCATAGACGCAGTGAAGAGAGCAGAAGGAGAGCTGACCGAAGATGAGGATGAGATGCCGGGACTCACCAACCCTACCAACACAGACACACAGAGCGCCGGTCAGTAAACACACACACAAACACACACATACACACTGCATATACTGTGTGGGCTGTGGTTACATCATTTGTTTTCCCTCCAGGTGTGATTGAGCGCTGGGAGCTGATCGAGGCTCAGTCTCTAAGTGAGAAGCACAAACACAAACAGAACCTGCAGCAGTGGCAGCAGCTGATCTCAGATCTGCAGACCTTGAGGGCTTGGCTCGGTCACTCGGAGGCTGAACTCAGCCAACTGCGAGGCCTCGATCTCAGCACTGACATACACACCATCCAGCAGAGAATCAAGAAGCTCAAGGTGGGTGCATGCAGAGTGCAGCGTTGCAGAAAGTCCAACAAATCTGCGGTTATTTAGTCACCTGTCAAACTTCCAGTGCAGTGTGCTGACATTTTCCTCCTTCCCCAAGCACTCACTAGTTTTCAATTACTAGAAAGCAGCATGTCACTATGCTATAAATACATCTTTCTCAGCTTCCTCTCTCTGATGCCTGGCTCATTGCTCCAGCACTCTATAATTAATCACCTCTTTTCCATACAGGAGCTGCAGAAGGGGATGGATGCTCACAAGTCAGAGGTCCTGTCCATCAACCTGAGCAGTGCTGACTTCCTCCAATCAGAGCCCGACTCTGAGGAGGCGTGGGAACTGAGGGACAGGCTGAAGGAGATGAATTTGCGCTGGGACCGGCTCGGCGCCTCATTGGAGGACTGGAGGGAGGAGCTGCAGAGGGCACTGTTGCAGTGCCAGGTATTAAAAGCACACACTAACTTTGGCAGCCCACTTTTAAGCTCCACAAATTTATAGCAGTAAAAATATCTGGTGCTGGGTTAGCTCAGTGGTTGATCAGGCAGCCATGTGTCTTAGAGCCAACTGCAGGAGCCTGGGTTCAATTCTGACCCGCTGCCTGTTCTGCCAATCTCTTTTCACCTGGATGCCTATCGCTTCTTCAATGACCTATCCAACAAATGCAAGACTCCCCCCCCACACACACACACACACACAAAAGTCTTTGAATAGAGGTCTGTACAGTGAATGTATGACACACATATATTAAATATATTAAAAAATATATAAATAAAATACCAGTTATCTTGTTATTGAAAAGTCTTATATCCTCCTTTTGCGAAACTGGGCATGAGAGACATCCTTAACAAAAACAACTGATAAGACACCCTGTTTATATTTGTCAGGAGTTCCATGAGATGAGTCACGGTCTGCTTCTATGGTTGGAGAACATCGACCGCAGGAGGAACGAGGTGGTTCCCATCCCCCAAAAAGCAAATCGCGAAACGTTACGAGCTCATCATAAAACACTTATGGTATGTCTCTCTTAAAACGGCCTCTGTGTGTAGTAGACTAACCTGGTGTGAGTTTCATACGACTGTTTTACCTTTTTATACTGATCAGTGTTACTTCACAAAGTGGGCACATGTGACTCCATGTCTTGGTCAATTTGTTCAGACTTGTAGCACCTTTCGTGCAGATGCCTCCAAATTTTTTATATAACAGTCAGAGGAGACAGAAAACTAGAAGTTGTCTGATTTATTTAGAAATAACAAGCTGAGGAGGCACAATAGGTCTTAATTTCTTCCTAATGTGTGGGTGACTCCTCTGTCTGCTTTATTGTTCTGTAGCAAATCAAGTGTGAGCTGCTGGACTCGCAGCAGAAGGTGTCGTCCCTTCAGGAGCTGTCAGCTCAGCTGCTGGTCAACATTAAACCTCAGACTCTGGCCCAGACCTCAGAGCGGACCCAGGCTCAGGGCAACGAGTGTCTGGAGGCCCAGGAGAAGGTTCACGTGATCTGGAACAGGCTAAGGCTGCTCCAGAGGGAGGTCAACTCAGATCTGGAGGGGCTGGAGAGGAGACTGGGGGCCATGGATGCAGAGCAGGTCAGATATATATTATTGCAAATATGCCTTGTACTTGTGACATTTGGAATGACAATAAAGTTGAATTCTATTCTATTCTATTCTATTCTATGATACTGAGTGCTCATTAGTTCTTTAGTGGCATTAGTTTGTTTTAGATCTGAACATCAGAGCGAATGTTGTTGTTTTGGTGTGTTTTCAGGATTGCTCGCCGTTGCCTGTTAGCAGATCTGCAGCACCTGGTTTAGATGTGACCAGCCAGACCCGCAAACGATTGGTAATGTCTCTCTTCATAATGTCCAGAAGGGAGAGGGCTGAGCTCACATTACCTTCCACTTGTCTTTTTTGTTTTTTTTGCTCTGCTAACATGTTTGTGGAAGAAAATGTAGTTGACCCCTCCCACCTCCCCTTTTTTGAGATGTTTTTGCTGCCCCCCATCATAATGATCTGCAAAAAAACTCACAAGAAAACCTGGCTTTTCGTTTCTGTAATTTTTAATTTATGTGTAAATACCTGAATATTGACTTTTATTGTAAATGACAGCTAAAACATTTAATCGTGTGAGGTTTTTTTTGGGCTTGACCTTTCTGGATTTAGTTTTGAGAAGCCAGATTTCTTGGTTCTAAAAGTCAATCACCGTCATTGATTACGCTGCTGCTCTTTGGTTATTGATGATGATTTCTCTAGCAATGTTATGGCTCTCTTTATGTTGTTTTTATTCTCATCTGAGGCTTTGTCTTTATTTGCCTTTGACTGAAACATTGTTTTCTTTCTTTTACCCCTCCCTGCTCATTATCTGGTTCAGCCCCGAGGCAAAAGTAGTCAGGCCCACCCAGGACACCCTGAGAGCAGCCCGCGCCACAGGTACCTCTCTCCTGGACTCTAGAAACTTGGGATGATGGTGGAACCAAACCTTTCCAACAAGCATGATTTTTATTAACTCAGTTAGGCACAATCACCTCGTCAAAGATTTGGCAGATTTATCATATTATTTCGATTGCAGCGTTTGTGATCCGCTGCTTTGAGGTTTAAACCCGGCGTTCCATGATCTTCCCTTATTCTCGAGACCATGTTGTTGGCTCTTAAACGAGAGGGGAATCGCCTCCATCAGGCCGCTCCCCTTCTCCTTTAAATGTTTTTTTTCACTGCTTCTCTTTGCCCTGCTGCTTTTTGAATGGCATCATGAAGTATTGCCTTCACACATTTTGCTTCTTCTGACTTTGTATTATGCTCCTCGCCCACTAGATGGCACTCTCTGAGCCCCACTGTCCCCACCTACCCACCCACACCCCAGCGGTCATGCCTTTAGCTCTGTTTTTCTTTTTTGTTTTCCTTCCTCTTTCATTCCCTTCATAGTTTTCCAACAGGATATGATGCATTAACTCCTGGTCTTCCTTCCACGTTAACTCCCATTTTCTCCTCCGTTTCCTTTCCAGACCTCTTTAAACCCACCTCCTTTACACCACATAGTCTCCAGAACTCCTGAACTAGACTTCCCATGAGGGTTGTAGAGAAACTAAATGTGCTTTTCCCCCTCACAGTTTCTTTATGTTGTACATTTGAGGTTTTCCAAGTAGAAATTCAGCAGAGCAGAAGGTGTTGCCTGGCCAAATAATTTGAAGCACACATGCGCAGCGTGCACATGCCTCCTCACAGCTGCATCACTGTACGATGGAGGTCAATGAAACTGGGATGTCAGCATGTCTGACCCTCGGTCTCCATGATGACAGGTCGCAGTAAGAACATGCTGTTCTTCCCTTAGAGTTTTTGCTCTGTCAGTGGTAATCTCCAGAGAGGATTTTGGCATTTCTCCTGCTTCTGTTTGGAAAGATGTGTGGCATTGAACTTTCACATAGTGAGCTCTGAAGCCAGAATCCTCCCCCCCCCAAAAAAACCCCAAAAAAACAAAACAAAACACACACACACACAGTGATACGGTGAGACACAGTCCATTATCTGTGAATGCTGTCTTAAACGTGCAAGTGGGTGCCTGTTTTGTGTGTTTGCGAATGTCTACATGAGTGTGACTCTTTTTGTATCCTTTCTTATTTTTTCGTTCAACATAATTTTGTTTTCATGCTCTAAATGTCAGATTTACAAACTATAAAATGTAAAAAAAAAAACTGTGAAAAATGCCCGCCACAGTTCCCCCGATGTCTTCTCTAAAAGCCTTTCAACTAGCAACTAAAAGCTTAAAATTGACACGAGT